GAGGCTTGGACATTAACAGTAGATTTGAAGAAGCGCCTGGAAAGATGCGAGATGTGGTTCTTAAGGAAGATGATGAGAATACCTTGGACAGACAAGGTGAGCAACGAAGAAGTTCTTGCAAGAGCCGGTGTAAATAGAAGGCTTATTAACGACATCAGAATGAGACAGATGCGTGTCTTGGGGCATGTGCTTCGGAAAGAGGGACTTGAGCTAACTGGAAAGATAGAGGGGAAGAGAAGCAGAGGAAGGCAGATAATACTGTGGATGAATAGCCTAGCTGGATGGATCCATACAAATGGTATAACAATCAAGGAGACGGATTTAATACACATGACTAAGAACAGAGAACTGTGGCAAAGCATGATCGCAAAAGTCTCATGACATGGCACCAAAGAGAGAGAGAGAGAGAGAGAGAGAGAGAGAGAGAGAGAGAGAGAGAGAGAGAGAGAGAGAGAGAGAGAGAGAGAGAGAGAGAGAGAGAGAGAGAGAGAGAGAGAGAGAGAGAGAGAGAAAGAGAGAGAGAAAGAGAGAGAGAAAGAGAGAGAGAAAGAGAGAGAGAAAGAGAGAGAGAGAGAAAGAGAGAGAGAAAGAGAGAGAGAACAAAAGAATCACAACATAAAAGTCAGCGTTTTTGCTGTGAAACGAAAGAAAGTTCGTTCAAACCAAAGTCAATATAGAAGGGAGGACCACGTGACTTGTGAAATTGTGAACAAAAAGTTAAGACAATAGGTTTCCAGACCATTCTATTGACTTTGTTCAAAGAAACCAAGACATACAGTTATCATACTAAAAATTATTTACCATGCAAGCGGATCGCTTAAAATGAGCATCGGCAAGCTTGTCTGAATTATTGGGAATGACAGTCAAGCCCTCTCGTGTAGGGACCCTATTTTCATTCAGAACTAAAAGAAAATTAATTACAGGCTAAGTACAAAAAGAGCTTTTAATCAAAGTCTACTGCTTACCTTTTTGGTTGAAGCACTTGAGTCACGAGCTGACGGAACGGAAAAGCTGCTGAATAAAGCACCGTGATTAGCAACAGTTTTAGCAAAAATCAAAAGCACATGTGAATAATACCTGATCAAGTTCGAGCATTAGAATTGAAAATCACAAATTCTGAGTTTCTTGGTATAACCTATATTCTTAAACTAGCAATACAATACTATATTCTGAAAAAAAAAAGTCACAGATAGTCATCTCTAGTAAGTACATCTATCGTAAGGTATTTGCAACAAAGTAATACGATTCTTGTAATTTATGTAATCACAAGGGTTGAATGCAAACGGCAACAACACAAGCAAGCGTGCACGAGTGCTGCTATCATCAGCAACTACTTTTTGGAAGGTATCATAAAAACACGATTTGAGAATAATCAGAATTATCTTCCTTTAATAGTCGGAGCACGTTGAAAAGAGTATATATATGAAAATTTGACATACTTTGAGGAAAAGTCTCCTGATGACTGTGAATTCGGAATTTTATTTTCATTTGCAGAAATGTCGACATCTTCCTTATCTCTCACGTTGGAAGAGCTGTTACTGGACCATCGAAAACTCCAGGGTAGAAAGACACGACGCTTTCGGCGATGACCTGAATCAAAACATCAATCTCAGCATTTCACTTCCTAACGAATATTGCATCTTTATCAAAGTCACAATCTCTGTAAGCTGACATCACTTAACAATTGATTTTTCATTTAAATCCAACTAATCAGAATATCACTGATAATATTCATGCAATAAATATGTGAGAATTATAAACTGCACACTTTCTAGATAGCCGAATAAATCAAAAAGAACACAAGCAGTATTGCATAAAAATCAAGAAATACAATTAGATAAATAATTAACGGATATACACTTACGGCGTCTTGGAGACTCGTTCAAGTCACTCAAAGACATGCTTAACTGCACAGGTTTTTGGAAAAGGGCCTACGGCGATATGATAAATCTCAATAAATGAATATATACAACTGAATTACAGCACAAAGGTGAAACATTAAAAATTTTTATAAAAAAAGGGAACGTGAATGGTTAACTCATAGCACACTATAGATGCATCAAATATTTGGCAAGCTTCTTTGATGAAGATACAGATAAAGCCTTTAACAAGGATCAACAGAACTCAACAAATGAAAACTCATAGAATTACCCCTATTCTCTTTCAGCAGTTTTGACAACTGCAAAATCAACGGAAAAACATATAACAATTTTGTAGTGAATAAATTCTAGTCCTTTACCATGAATAAAAACGTGATTACTTTTCAGTTAAAAGTGATACGAACCTCGTCATCATCGATTGTATTGAAATCCAACGATTTTGTGCGTTTTTCTAGTAACGTCGTTTGTATATCTTTTTCTGGATAGACCTTTTCCTAAAAAGGTTTTTAGCAAGGAATGCAAGGAATGCTTGAACAGGCTTAATAAGTGAAGTATGCGTACAAAAGAAGCATTTATATTTGATACTGGCAAATAAAATAATAAACGATTTTCCTGGACTGCTGAGAGCTACGTTATTGTAAAAGAGTATAAACGTCACTCAGCACAGACTACTGTGAGAAGAATTAGGATAAACACTAAAAAAACAGCTGATCGTCAACAATGGGAGTGTTGCCACAGCGAATGAATCCAGTCAGCCTGTTTGCGAATTCATTCATACAAGACTAAATAGTTATCTATTATTCGATCTAATGTAGGGCAAAATTTTATTGAGCAACTGTTTTGATAAGACACGCGACAGGGACCTATGAAGAAAAATTCGAAAACTCTAACCCATCAAGGGTTTCTGTTTCTTTCATAACACTGTTGAAAGTTGAAAATTAATTTTGAAACGAGGCTTGCGGTATCATAGCTGTGTCATCAAAAGGATATGTGTTAATTGAGATGAGAAATTTATCTCAAAATCTTCTGGCGATTGTTTTAAGTTGGTCTAGTGGAGGCCCTTATTAGAAGCTGTGCTTGTATCTTATTTTTTATAGTTGAAATAAATGGAGAAAAAGAAAATAACATAATATAACAGAAGCAATTGATCTGGCATCGTTCTGGTTTGACGATGGCGGGTTGTCTCCTATGTAAATTTTGTAACAAAGGACCAAGTCAGGGCCGTAAATCCCGGGGGGGGGGGGGACGAGGGGACTAGACCCCCCAAAAATCTTTAGCAAAACGACTTTTTGGAGAAATTATTGTCATTTTCTTTTAAAGAAAAGAATCCCTGGTAACTGGGTTAGAACTAAACTAAGTTTTTACGTGTTCTTGCAACAAACCTCAGCCACTCTATGTCATGGTGTCAAGCGCAAGTTGACTATTGTTGATGGCAGATATTTATGTTTGCAGAGTGGTATCGAGTCAGTGACGATGCCCATGTGGGGGATTAGCCCCAAATATAACCCCTTGAATAAATCTAAAAAACATGTACGAAAAGAATCGTTTACACATATTTTCACAAACCCACATTACATATATTTTCATTACACGCCTTTTTATAAAAATCCTAACTCAAAGCCTAGGTCCTAAAGTTCCGAATTTTTGAACCTCTAGTGCGGTACCATTAGTCAAATTGCGGTCCCAAGACCTCCATAATAGCTCCTTAATCTTAACTGCACATTTAGTGACATGATAATAGCATAGACATAAAAAATTAAATTCTGAGTTTTGCTTTCAACTGTAGCTAGGAACAAAGCCAAAAGACAAAAAGGGAAAGAAGTAAAATTAATTTGCGTGAGAGAAGCAATGACAACACTTTTTATTATTAGAATGCAATAATTTTTGCTCAGCCTCTATTTTTTAAAGAAAAGTTTCGTTTTGAGCCCTAATATGTTCTTAGATACATCCTTATTTTTTTTTAATCCGATATGATTTCAGGAAAAAATCGCTTGCTCTCGAATAGAAAACACCTTCTCTTTCGTTCCCCGACGTCTATCACTAGAGTTTAAGCATGACTCTTCCCCTTCCCAATTTCACCCAGAACAATAATGAGTGTTCTTCTGAGGAACTTTCTTTCGCGTCGGCCCCAACCATGGTGGGTCCTCCTACATCACTAAGCGCGATTTTCAACCCCCTCAGGTTCAATTTCCTCAAGCTGTCTCTGAAAAATGTTATCCACTCAATTATAAAAAGTCAACGTGCTAAGAAATATCTGTAAATATCTTCTATAGAGCTGAAAAACCTTACTAAATCTAATAATCTTTCTTTTTGTTTTTTAAGTCGTTTGCCGCTCAAGCTGTTTCCAGAACACATACCGTAAATTGCTTGGTGGTGCCATGACCCACTGCACACTTTATATTCATTTGCTCTGCTGACCCCCCCCCCCTCCCCCAATAGACAAGACAGATTTACGGCCCTGGACCAAGTTGCTTTATAGTAGGCCCAGTCCTGTTCAGTCCTAACTCAAAAATTAACTTCGATATATATGCCGTTTTTTGTGATAAGTAGAATTAATTTTCTGTACCCTACTGATCTTGAGCTGCTAATTCCAGAAAACTGCAACCTTATTGAAGTTGCCTGCGTGCAGACTCGGAAATTTAAAAGAGGAGCGTAAGTAGAGTCTGCGCAACAGTGTCGCTTTTCTTGTTCGCTGACATCAACATTTTATTCTAAGCACTAGAACAACAAATCCATTAGCGTGCAATGTTTTTCTGTAATTTCAGTTGTTCAAAAGAACAAACAGACCTATTCTATTATCCTGATACCATTCATTTGTACTTCTGCTCGAAGGCGCCACTTTGAAAACTGAAAAAAACAATTGAAATTCTCCTAACCAATCAAATTCGGTTCCTTGATTTTGAGGAACCTGTGAACAAGAAAATCAGCTCGGCTTCGCAGACTCTACTTTTTCTCCTATTTTCAATTTTGTCAACAGAGTCTGCACGCAGGCTATATTGAAGCCACTAGGTCCTTTGTACTTATTTGTTCGATCTGCATAAAGAGCACCTAACAAATTACCTTCTACTGTAAATATAAAAGATGTACGCACGCTGTTTTTCAAGAACTGTGTACTTCATAAGTATTTATAAAATAACTCGACCCAAGCATTTCTACATTTGTTCAGTTCAGTTCAGTTCAGTTCATTTTTAAATTCCACTATATACAAACACTCTCTAAACTAAAAACTTACAATAATAAATAACTACCTATAAATTAATAAGACAATAACACACATAAAGGGATAAAGATAAATGACACCAGAGGATTTGTATGAAGGGGAATTCTTAACGAGGGACTCTCTCAATAGCTAAGCTAATCGAGGAAAGAGCACCTCCTCTTTTCGGATAAATTTTAAGAAACTATGAGCAAATATTGACAATCAATAATCTGATTCAATAGGTATGCTTCTGACGAAACATCTTGACTGACTGCTCAAGAGGAGCCCCAACAATATCGCCTTATCATACAGTTCGTGACATAAGAAACAACCTTTGATTCAATGTTTGGTGCAGTTTTTTCATGTCAATATGTAAATCCACTAACATTTCCACCAACTCTTCATTCACCTTCTGCATATCCTGTCACTAAAAGAAACTCCTCTTCAATCAATTTTACATCCCTACATTATTGTTGTCTATATCAGTGATCTTCTACACTTGGCAATGATCAATTACATTCCCTCTGGGTCCTCCAAATCGTTCCATTCTAATCTACATCAACATTTGTTCTGAAAATTTCTCAGCAAAAGTCTGCAGTCCAGGGTCTGCATAGATAGAAATAAGTTAAATTTGAACCTACCCTTAATCCTCGCAACCAGTCCATCATTACATCATGATTGTCAGCTTTAAAATGGTGCTCTTTTCCGGATATGCTGTGATACATTCAAAGAAAATGTCACTGTTTGTACTGAAAATATTCCATTAATTTCAAACAAAATGATGGGTACAGAGGCCACGCACTGACCAGGTTTATCAGAAGGCTGAATTCAAAGCTTCTAACAGGGTTATTGATTCCCTGCAAATTGACTTGGAAATTTTCACCATTTGCATATTTCACTTGCTTGTTCACTATCGAGCATAAAAGTAGATAATATCTACAAAAGTATAACTTTGTTTGAAGATATAACAACAAAATAATACTTTAAGTGGGCAACAATAAAGGTTCAAGTGTTACTTTCGATACTTTTAAGGAAGAATATCTTTCATGCTATATAGAATGATGGCAATTACTTTAAAAGCTGCATTTCCAGCTATAATCACAATCACTTACTTTATGACAAAGTTGAATAATTCTGCATTTTCATAATAAAAGTGAGCACCATGCAAATCGAGAATTCTACAAAAGGAAAGCAATTTGATTCAATTGAAGCAGAAAACAAAAAATTGAAAAGGTAAGCAAACAGAAGGTGAAGCAGCGATTTTGAAATTGGAAAGCTGATGTGGTACCTTCAAAGACAATGAAAGTAAATTTTGATAAAGGATAAAAGTTAAAGCTTGGCCAAAAGAAACAGGCAAAAAATGAGACTTGCAGCAAAAAGTGAAGCATTAAAAAATGTCAAGCGTTTGAATGTTTTGGAAGAATGAGTAAATTTCAATATTATCATATCTTTTGCTATCTTTTAGCATGAACGTGTTTCATTTCAGTAACAGATCAGTATCTTAGTGCTAATTTGTGAAGGGTAAGTATTCATTTGATGCTGAATTTGGAAAAGCACAAATGATATTTCCATCACAAAGAGGAATTTCCTTTATTCTTTGTCAGATTAAACGGCTAAAGGCTAAAAATGACAGAAAGAAGAATATTGCAGAATGGTACAATTCAATAGCTTAAACAATATAATTAGCCACCAGCATGATGTCTTTTTCATTCACTGTCACTATGCTAATTGCAGAGAGCAAATAGCTTTATTATCAGACTCCCTCAGCAATCATAGATAAGGCATCTAAATAAAAGGCATTGAGTCATGGTAAATAGGCTTTCTCTATAAAGGGTACTTTGGTTTTGGGGTGATCGTTGTTGTTTCATGTAATATTGCCATCCATTGCTGACAACTTCATATTGATCGAAACTGTTTTGTTAATCAGTAGGAGGTGAGTTCATGTGACCAGTTTAAGGTCAGCCAATAGCATCACATTTATGAAAATCACGACTTAGCAGATTTTGGCACTTTGGGTATACTCAATCCATTTTATCATGACTCACTATGTTTAACCACTAAATAATCAGAGGAAAGAAATAGATCAACAGATACAGCAACAACCATCAATATATAAGTGGTCTAAATATATGCTTTCCTGAATATCTTTCAGTGTTGGCATTTGAAATTTGAAAGAATCCTTACCCTGATGGCATCTTGACAAAGGCATCTTTTGATGATTTAAAGAGCTGGAGCTGTTTAGAACTTTCATCAAAAACACACCTGTAATGAAAATATTGAATAACTGAAGCATGGATATTTCAAAGGTGGCTTTTAGAGTAGGCAAAAGAACTGAACAATGTATATAATATTATTGAAAAGTGTATTATTGATAACATTATTGAAAGACTCACCAGTATCTTTTTCTGGAGGGGATCAGCTTTTTTATCCCTAGGCAGAAATAAGGTTAAATATCAAGCAGAACTTGAAACAAGCTGCTTGAATGAAAATCTCAACAAGCTGATGAAATAAAAAGTCAATAAACAAAAACTTTTGTAATAAACTATAACTTAAAAGGTGGATTAAGCATAAAATTTTAAGAACATTTTATTTGAATATGTTTCTTACACCTTTTTTTTAATAAGAACCAGTAAATTTAGGTTCATGGTGATTGTTCTAATTTTTCCAAAATCTGAGGCTGGGTTGTTCTTAATTTGTTCTTAAATTAATAGGGGGTAAGCAATGCGATTGCTAGATTTTTCGCTCTAGGGAGGTGTTCAGGCCTGATATGACAACAAAGTGAATGAGATGAAACGCTATTTCATAGTAGCTCACTCTCAGCTTGTTCTTAATAATTCTTAACTTTTGACCAATTTTGAGGCTTCTAATAAAATTGTTTTTATGAAAAAGAGTGGGAATTAAGATTTTTGCAAAAATTCTAAGCTCCTTGTTGGCGATTTTGTGACTCCGGTTAGAATAAACCTATATTTGATACTTTTGTATACATGTCCACGCCTACGTCGAGGTATTTGTAATTTGACTCACCTTTGTAATGATGCTTCACAAGCAGGTAACCTGCTAAGTCATTCAGAATTTCCTGTGAAAATTTGGCAATTCAGTAATCAAAATTACAGACAAAAAAGAAGTTATTTGTGAATAAAATTTGATCGACAGATGTCATCGAACCGAAGGGAGCAAATGGCAATGCTCGGTTGAATTCTTTGAATTTTTTCGTGACATTTCTTGTGGAATGCGAAATATCACTAGACGCAAAAATAATTGCTCTTAATATTTGCCGTGACAGGCTTCTACCTCTGACCGGACGAAAGTGGTTCAAAATACACCTGTTTTATGTATTTTCATGATTTTTAAGATTTTAACAATACATTTAACCTTGACTGTTTTAATTAAAACTTTCGTTTAATTAAACAAAGACAAAAAACCGCATAGAAAGAACCCCTTAACATCACGCATTGGATCAGTACCGAAGAGGTTCGGGAAAATGCAACAGAAATTGCATAAACATGAAGAGTTTTACAACATTACTTACGCTAGTTCCCATCTCTTCTGATCTCTTGCACAGTTGCTAAAATTCTGCTTCCAGAAAGCGATCAGTGAGCTTTCAGGTTTTATGTCACTTAGGCCGACTAAAAAATGTCATTCTTGTTGGTAACTCTCCTGCCTGTTTACACCCTGATCCCTTTCAAAACAAAGGGAGATTCTCCATCCAGTATCCGTTATTTCGTCATTCTTCAAAATAACAACTAAGATTGATGGCAATCTTCCTGATTTTTATTACATTTTACTTCCTTGATCTACGACTTTACTACGCTGTTTATGCACTCTTCGAAGGCGAGCTTTCAACTGCTACGAAGGAGCAATCAAATTTTCAGAGGTCAAAAGTATTACACCATAATCGAAATATATCGCATAATCAAATTTTCAGATAAAATTATGTCCAATATTGTCCGAAATATACAGCTTTGTCCTGAATTAGCTTCGTATGAAAGTTTAACATTATTAGGCAACAGAAAACGCAAATATAATACCTAGGTGTTGTGCAGCAATTGTCTCGAAATTTCACTAATGTTATGACCTTTCAATATTGGGTTATAAAAATATGAAAGCTTTTAGAAGTTCCTTCGTTTGTATCTTTTATCTATGCGGTGCGGTTCAAGAATTGTCGCAATTTGTATTATATCTATAACTGCTGGAAATTTTGCATTTCAATTCTTGCAAACATGTTGGGAGAATAAGGAAGAAATGCTTCCAGCTTTGTCATGTTTGGGTTTCACGGTTACGCGGTTTCGGCCCGTATTTCGGCTCGGTTTTCGGTTTCTGCATCAAAATCTGTACAGGTTTTGCGGTGTTAAATATTGCTTCAGTGAAAAGTTTTTGACGTTATTTGGGTCAGTTTCCGGTCTGTATTGCAAAAAGGTGCGGTTTTTGGATCATGGTCTTGACGAATTTGCATGTTTCTCGTACATAAAGAAAGGTGACGAGGATACAGTAAAAACCCGCGTAAAAGAAACTGGTTTTTTCAATTAGCCTAAACAGGTTCTTATATGAATCGTACTTGAAATTAACAGTGGCGTCGCCACGGGGTGGACTGGGGTGGACATGTCCACCCCAGTTTTCCCAGAAGTGGATTTTCAAATTTCTCGAAATCCGTTCAAAAAGCTTTGGTGGGTAGTTGGGCTGATCAGATCGATATTGATTTTTGCACTGGCAAAAAAGCCACCGTTAGTCTACCAAAGTTCTTGAAATAGGTTCTTACATTTATGTAGCAAAATGTTAATTTTCATATCATCCAATAAAATTGTACCTAAAGACAGAACAGACTTAACAAATCAAATATATACTCAAACGAACTCACTTAAAAGACAAGGCTTACTGTAAGATGGATCAATTTATTGGAATGATGGAAACAATAGACACTGTGTTGTACTTTGGCTTCAAAGAAAAATTGTTTTGCCAAGTTAATTTTAGATATAAGCAGATAATGAAACTTTATTCAACAGTTCCACCTAGAAACTTTTACAGCAATTTTGCTGGTAAGAACCTAACTTTAAATTTTAGCCTAAAAAGGTCATTATGGGGAGGAGGCTTAAATTTGAAACTTTGGCCTAACAGACTCTTAAAATCAAGGTTCTTATAAGCGGGTTTTTACTGTACAATTTGAAAAAGCGAGCGACACAGACGTAAATGAAGACGAGTCTGATGAATTCGATCAAAAAAGTCACGAAGGAGAGGATGATGGGGGATTAGAATGTCCACAAGCCAATCCAACACGGTGAATTTGGTAAATCAACAGACAATCTTTTGGTGGTACAAAACTTGAAAATGGCTTTGAAAAAAACAAACATTTAGTAAACTAAATCTTTTCGTCTGACAGTTCGTAAAACGTCAGAACGTAGACCGAAAACTCGACGTTAGGAAATATATATACCCAGTTGTGGATCGAAATAGGCCAATCAGAAACACGAGCACATGACTGTTGAGGTTGACCAATCAGTGCCACTTGCCTATTGAGAATGTTACCAATGGAGTCCTAAGGTGAAAACGAACTCCTTCTATCTACACAGTAGCGGTTTTTTCGTGCTTATGTAGATAGATTCCAAAACTGCTAGGTGGAACGACGATCGGGCTTTACCAAAAATCTGAAACATGTCGCCATTATAGCTTTATGCACAATTTCAAGTTTTGTGCCACCGAAAGATTGTTTGCATATTTCAAGCAGAGGTACACAAAAGATGAGATTGAGGATCTCAACGCATTGGTTAAGCTTAGAAGTAAGCTGAGGTCGGCCAGGTTCTCTTTATCCTTTCTCAGTTTGTGTTTGACTAATCGGGTTGCACCTAAATTTATCACCGCTCGTATTTCTAGGTCTGGTGTTAGACACAACCATTGAGCGCGCTTTTCTACAAGATGAAATTTAGAAAACTAAAACTAATATTCTGAATCTTTAACGGTTATATACACGCCAATGGTCTAAAACGCGTCCGTTTCTCACATTCTTTGATAATTTTCGACTTTGCCGCTACATTTCTGAAATTGACCAGCGGACACTAAAACAGACTACGGAAAAACATGATAGGAACATTGTGAACAATTTTTTTGCGGTACAGAATTTGAAAATGGCTCTGAAGAAAGCAAACATTTTACGACATACTAAAAGCTTTTTCGTCTGACACTCCTCAGAGCATAAAACGTCAAAATAAGGTTCCGAAAGAACACGATGGAAAATATATACCCAGTTGTGGATCGAAATAGGCCAATCAGAAAAACGCAAGCACAAGACCGGTATAGTTGACCAATCAGTGCGGCGAGCCCAAAGAAAAATTACCAATGGATTTTGATCTACAACTGGGTATATATTGTCCATCGTGTTCTTTCGGAACCTTATTCTGACGTTTTATGCTCTGAGGAGTGTCAGACGAAAAAGCTTTTAGTATGTGATAGGAACATTGGCATGCTAGTTAGGAAACGTTTTGGCGGCTTGATGAGCGATTCAAAAAAACATATCTCTAATTTGTTGGACTATTCTCTCTCTGAAACCGAAACATTTGTCTTAGGTAATGGTCTTGAGTTTTGTATCCCATCACAACGTATAAACAGAGAGGAACTTTTTGCTGAATTCGAAATTTTAAACGCTCAACTTGCTAGGCACGACATTTCTGATGCTTTGGAATTTAACAAATTACGAGCACGACTAAGCGATTTGGCGTACGCTTACAGCGGCTCTCCCATCGATCACTCAGATTTTCTTTTGCATAGAGAACATTTTCAAGCATTAACATCTCTACGGTCTAATAATGACATCTTTATCACTAAGCCTGATAAAGGGCCAGGAGTGGTTATTTTGAACAAAAAGGACTACATCAAAAAAATGGAGAATATTCTCCTCGACAAAGAAATGTTCGAAAAATTGGGTGACGTCGAAACACAGGATAAAACGGCCAGGCTAAAGCGGAAACTTTAAAAACGCCTTTTGGAGCGGGTTAACTCAAAAGTGTTGACCAACGAAGTTTACGATAGGATAAGACCCACAGGTTCACAACGCCCACAAATGTATGGCCTCCCTAAAATACACAAGCCGAATGTTCCACTTAGACCCATCTTGTCTATGATTGGCTCAGCACAACACGAACTGGCTAAGTGGCTTTCTGAAGTTTTGGACCCTGTTCTTCAAAAATATTCAAAACATTGTATCAAGGACTCTTTTACGTTCGCTGAGTTCATGCAAAACTTGAACATCAAAAACGAAACATCTTTCATGTGTTCTTTCGACATTAGTAGTCTTTTCACAAATGTCCCTTTGAGTGAGACCATCAAAATATGTGCCGACGCTTTGTACCGGAGCGAGCTTAATAGCCCATCATTCCCAGAGGAAGTATTCATTGAACTGATGGAAACTGCAACACGTTCAGTTGAATTCAGTTTTAACAATGAAATGTACCAACAAAAGGATGGTGTCGCTATGGGTAGCCCTCTGGGACCTGCCTTGACCAATGTCTTTGTTGGCTTTCACGAAGAGCGTTTGTTTGACTGCGACCAAAAGCCAGGTGTTTATTTTCGGTATGTGGATGACACATATCCCATTTTCAAGTGTGATACTTTCCTTTAATATTTGTTCCAGGTTACTAAACAAAAACCATTAGCAAATAAGGTTATGATGGTCCTCAGAATGTTTTACCATTGTCAATCATAAGACTGAAGGTGGTGTTCTCTCATCATTTGAACCATTTAGTTTTGGGCTGTCGGTGCGCCAATCGCAAAGATGGCCATAAATGAAACCCCAACCGTTTTTGAGGGGTTGAGAAGAACAATGACCTTCTTCCGCCGACTAGCAGCACCTTGTTCATGCAAAATGTCGCAAGCCATACGGCCATTAACTAATGCACGAAAATAAGCAGAAAGTCAGCATGCATGTAAATAAAAACCCCTGAAAATTTCTAGACAAGGGTTGGGTGGGCAGGGTCGCAAAGGAAAAACCTTTCCTCTCCAAAGTCCAACTTCAAGTTGTCGTGCAACGTGTGAGAATGAAACTGTGCTAAGACAAAGTTTATATACCCAAAGCCAATGCACACTTGCACGCTGGTTGCTTTAGCCGTATAAAAAACACAATGTAAAGCTTACTCGAGCACTGCTACAATAAATACAAACTCCACAATAGTGCAATCTGTGCCCAAAAACAAAAGCCCAAGGGGCACCTAAAAGGCGTACCCTGTCACATATTAAACGTGATTAAATTTCATTTAATCAAGCTAAAATGGCCTTCACACAGCCCTACAGTTTACATTTGATAAGGAAGAAAATAACTCCTTGCTATTTCTAGATGTTTTGGTTGAAAAATCTGGCACTGGATTTCTCACTAGTGTATACTGTAAACCCACATTTTCGGGGTTATATACTCGATGGAGTTCGTTTTGCCCAAAACAAAGAAAAATCAGCCTCATCAAAACGCTTCCACATAGGGCACTGAAGTCTAAACTCGACTCGGAACTTGAAAAACTAATTAAGATATTTGAGAACAGTCACCTCGGTCTTGCAGATCTTAAAGTACAACTAAAACCTGCGATTCTGCTATCGGGCAGCATTTACTGGAAAACCCAGATTGTGCAAAAAACTATAATAGCGACATGTTTCGGATTATTGGTGAAGCCTGAGCGTCGTTCCACCTAGCAGTTTTGGAATCTATCTACATACGCTACTGTGTAGACAGAAGGAGTTCGTTTTCACCTTAGGACTTCATTGGTAACATTCTCAAGGGGCAAGTGGCACTGATTGGTCAACCTCAACAGTCATGTGCTCGTGTTTCTGATTGGCCTATTTCGATCCACAACTGGGTATATATATATTTCCTAGCGTAGAGTTTTCGATCTATGTTCTGACGTTTTAAATTCTGAAGAGTGTCAGACGAAAAGCTTTAGTTTTCTAAATGTTTGCTCTTTTCAAAGCCATTTTTAAATCAACCGACTTCGCTTAGGTGCACTATCCCGATATGGAATACCCTGGGTACCAAAGTCACATGAATTCGAGCGCAGAAATCTGGACGCTCCTCTGCTTGGATTTTGTGGCTTTGGTACCCAGGGTAGATATGGAAGGACAGTAAAATTCAACAACAAGTTGCTTTTACGGCAACCGCAAATCTATTTTTCGATTTGTACGTAATTTCAATTATATTTTTTGGGTTTAACATCCTAAACTCTACAACTTGCATGCATGAAAGAAAAATCTACACATTAAACGTATTTATGATGATGTTCAAGGTGGAATTGCAGTAAAAATTAGTTGGAAATAGATTATTTTTATGCGGTTTAAAAAAATAATGCACGTTTTTACGCTTTTTGGAAAATTTCAGGAGGTTCTTCGGTTTCCGGACCCCCCCAAAAACCCCCCTGTGATGCCCCGAGTTTCCCTAATCTTTCCTTAGTTGTCATCGTTGCTAGTATTAATTTTTATCGAATTATCTTGCTGCACCTTTATGGTTAGATTAAATTGCCGATGATTTATGCTGGTATCAGCCAAAACTATTCGCTCGAAAGTTTCAAGTAATTCTACAAAATTTTTATTGGAAATTTCTTACGAAAATTTTCTGTCCGAAAATTTGCGATTTTAATGGTTTGCAAATTTCTTTGAGGTAAGTAATAAAAAATGTGACACTTGTACCAATTTACGTCCAAAAAAAGGAGACGACGAAAAAACTCAGTGCTAACCATAAGATAATTTTTAATTCAAAGTAATTCTTACAAGGAATGGACACAATTTTTTTAGATAACTATAAAATCAATCATTTTAAAAATTAAACGACAATACTCGACCAAATTAATGTAAGCTAGTAATTAATCAATTCCAGAGAACTGTCCCAATTTAATAATACTAATGAAAATATAATTGTCACTGAATGAAATTGTTCATTGGACGTGTGCAGTACATTAAATTAGCACGAAGAACTTAGATTAAATTTCCAAAAGACAAAGTGCCTCAGAGACGGCGGATGCAGCAGCCGATGCGGATACTGCTGTATTTGGAAAAGTCGAATAGGGACTCTCAGGGTGTTAATAGCTACCTTGACCCGGCATAACCGAGCCAAGTAGGAGCTTGATATAACATTTCATTCTTAACGAAAAATTAGAACAAACATGGCACTGTCTTGCTCAAATGAAATCGAGACTTTCATCCAGCACTGCATGCAACACCAGGCATCTCTGAACATTAATTACTCGTCACAGAAGTAGTACAGAAAGACAAATCAACCCTGGTACGCCAGATACACACAAATATACAAAACGAATTCAAATTTTAAACGGCGAATGAAGTTACCGCATTTCCAATTATATCAAACCAGTTCCAAGACCTAAAAAAGAGTGAATATAATTAACTAAATAATAAATAAAAAAGACACTTATTTGATAAAAAAGACACTCGGTTAAATATTTCATGCAATATCAAAGATTTCGAAGGATTTTAGATAAAAAGAATAAAAAGTGATCTTTTAAGGTAATAAAGAAAGATTTCCGACCTTGATTGATCCTTGGCTATTTGCAGCAACAACGATATTTGAATCCTAAAAGTTGTAAAGCGAAGATTAAGAAAGCTAAGAATTTGGAACTTACAAATAGCAAGTGGCTATATAGAGAATTAACATGTGGCCTGGGTTGCCCAGGAAGCACTTTGAAGAACATAAGCAAGGCTAACTGTGAAGCATTCAAAAAATTTTAGAGAAAAAAAGAAGTCAACATTCAACCTGCCTAACTTGAAACTTCTGCCGTATGTAAAGAAGCTTTCAAAAGGCGATATGCATTCCATAGTTTCAGGTATATTCTTAGGTCTAGAACCGAGTGCGGAACGAGCGTGAGCTTTTTTTCCTTTAGTTTTTACCTTGACTATTTAAACAAAATCGCACTGGCTTAATTGAAGAATTTTAAGTCTTAATAAAGGTTAACTTTTACTATTTCATCTTCATACAAGACCAAACAGATGAAAACAAACTTATTCCCAACGAATTAATAACATTCAATAAAGATCATCGTAGAGCATAAATTCATGTGAAGAGATTAGCAGACAGGTCATTGGACGAATCAGACCGAATGCAGCAAAAAACCTACGGGTTTCCAGCACACAGCAGACACGAACTCATTGACGTCATCTTCTTTCTTATCACGTTCCTGTATGCAAAGGAAACGATTTCAGGGGTATTAAATGACAATATTTCGACAAAAGCGAAATAAAAATTCTTCAAATATACGGGGCGCATCGTTTCATAAAGATGTTCTCATTTTTCAAGTTGAGCATGCATCGTCAATTGTAGGAAGATAAATAGGCAAAAATACCAACCAATACACTACGAATGGTGTCGAACTTGAATGACAGCAGTTGTTTGGAAACACCTTTGTAGTATACACAGAGGGAATTATTTTCGCTTCCTACGAGGCAACAACAATTGCTCGTGAACTTGACAGCCTTCGAAAAAGTTTATTGAAATATCGTCATTCTTGTGCAACAAGAAATGATTTCAAAATACATTGCAAAAAATGTCTTACAAATTTCGAAGTTGACTCAATACGTTTTCAGCTAAGTGCAGCTAAGAAGCAACCGGCTGCACTGAAATAAGGGCAACAACGATGTTTCAAACGTAATAAAAATGACCAAAGGCGGGTAGATTTTACGGTCAATTCAAGCAGGTATTTTGCTTTGCAAATGGATGAGTTTCTGATCAAAAGAGTTTTAAAAAATAACAGACACGTTGGTTAACGTAGAGACGGTTTCTGGGGGTCCAAAATTATTGCAGAAGAAATGAAGATTGGAAACGTGCTCAAAACAACAAAATGTGTCATAGGCCCAGTTTAAGAGATATATGGAAAATAGGTGAATAGATAAAAGTCGTGTTGGTTGAGCGAATGGTGTGTTAAAGACGTACAAGAAGTGGCAAAATTCCAATGATGATGTCAAGAATAATGGGTTTAAAATGCCACATAGCGCTTCTATCAAAGCCAGTCTTTTAAGTACATCCACAATCATTCGGTTTTTTTAAATGAAACAATGCTTCTCCAATTCATTGCCTCCAAAAATCATAACCTCATTTCAAGGCTTATGATTTACAGAAAAGATTTTTGAATCGATACAATCGTCAACACCGTCTGGATAAGAGTGAGGCAAAATCCTTGGTGTATACATTGAAGCGCCTGATTGCCTTTCGACTTCGGTGGTGATGTTGTTATTTCAACCATAAATGCTCAAACAAAGGTCAGCCCAATTCTCACAAGCATTCCTATCTATGTGCTATTTTACGTTTTCATTCAAAGCATGTTCTATGTTGTTCTTATCCTTCATAAAGTAGCCTTTGACAAGCTTTAACTTAGCTACTTTCAGACATGCCCTACTTACCAAAAATTGATGATAAACGTAAAAAATAATTCGGGGTGAATGTAAATTAAAATGAAGTAATGTTTTTAGAAATTAAAACGGACGTACAGAAAAAAGAAAAGCAAAATGTTTTACAGAAAAATTTCTAAATCATTTTGGTCAATCGAAATAACAATTCTACGGCCGTCCTGGCAAAGCAGAATAAATTAGCAAAACTGCCAAGGCATTCAAAACGTACCGCAAGCAATGTAATCTCCATTAGTTGCAAGTCCTACGAAATTTTTCTCATTCATGTGACCCTTGAAAGTCTTTAGGCACTGCTGTTTTGAAATATCCCACAATTTTAACTGACTGTCCGTCGATCTGCAAAGAAAACAATACTTGAAAAGGCAAAACTGAGACGCAGAAAAGACTATAGTAATGATTTTAAATCAACAAAAGTTCACTGGTTCATTATCACGATGTCTTGTATGTGATGAGGAATGTGTTAAAATTGTGCGTTAAAGTAATGAGAAATGTCTTGGCATCCTAGTTGATCAGAAGTTAAACTGGAATCAGCAAGCAACGGTAGTATTCAAAGCCTTTGGTGCAACAGAAAAAGGATCAGGACAATGAGCTATCTTTCAACGAAATTATATTAGGAAATTTACTTTAAAAAAATAAAAACAGCGGTACTGTAGACAGTACTGGTGTAAGGGAACAGCTCCCTAAGCACGTGAAATGAAATTGAAAAAATACATATATCTGTGGCAAGGACGAATAACAAGTTGGACAAAAGAATACCACCAGAGAGGGCATTAAAGAATGAAAAATGGGATTTCAGGTTTTATATGTACTAGTAGAGACTGAATATATTAATGCTAAAAGATAAAAATGACAAAACGGTCAACCTGGTCTCTGAAATTTTTGAGAAAAATAGAAATCGTTATAGTCTAAGGAAATAAAAGAACTTCGACGAGTTGAAATGCCAGAATTCAACAAGATTGAGAGGTCCAGTCATATGGAATTCATTCGATGGCTCATGGAAGGATCTTAGTTATATGCAACTGAAGAAAAATGCAAAAATTGAGAGAAAATAAAACAAATTGATTTTAAATAATAAACATGCGAGAATATGAATCGGTCTTGCATCTTTATAGACTATTAGCGTTTTAAAAGCTTGAACTTTTAAGCTATGGACACAAATATTATTAAATATTTGAACTTATGTAACTGATTTCCTTTTTAAACATTTTAGAATTCATGTCCACAGCTGCCATTGATCAACCTGTTTAATATGAAAAATGTTGATGAAACCCTGAATGGCATGTACCATTATTGCATGCAATAACTTGAACACTGAAAAAACTGATACGAGAAAAACAGAAGTACTTAAACCCTAACCCTAAACTTGGAGGAAAAAATCATTTCCGCCTTAGGATTAAATTTATTGCGAATATCCTTGTGAATAATTTTGATAGTTTTCTATATTTATGTTTGCGCTCTTCTCGCAAAGGTCCTTGCTCGTCTCGAATGCAGTCGAAAATATTGCTTTCTTTTCATACAAAAGCAAAAAACACTCTTCTCTTTTCCCACAGATTAACTGAGTCTTTGCTTTCCTTTCATACTGGTTTGGATTAACTTTCCTCTTACAAAGAGAAAACTTTTGCAATCTTCTCACACAGTATAAACCATTACCTTTTCTGTTAGCAAAATTGCTATAACTTTTCATACAGATAAAATCTTTACCATCCTTTTTACACTGGTCTTATCTTTCCTTTTCTCTCAAACAGGGCAAATTTCCGCTCTCCTTTACAACCAGCAAAATTATTCCTCTTTTTTTTAGCAGAGGATACATTTTTTGCATTTCTTCAATTCCTTTTCTTTGTACAAAAGTACTTATTATCTGGACTTAAATTGGACACTTCGCATAAAAACACCATGTTTGATGAAGTAAACAAACATTGTAATAACCAATCCAAAGAAGTAACACATGAAGCTTTTTCGAACAAAAGTTGATGCTTAGAAAACATACTTACGCAGAAACTACTTCGTTTGGTGTGACAAATTTTGCGTATGAGACAGCCTTTCGATGTCCTTTGAAAACTGCCAAAGGCTTCCTGCTATTTCGGAGGTCATAATAATGAACACAATGATCTGAAAAAAAACAGTGCAAAACTCAAGGAGCAAGTTAAAGGATCATAAAATTCAAGGATCGTAAGAAGAATGCGCTCAATAAAAAAAACAAAACTATATTCTTGCAGCGGACCGGCTAAGCAAAAATACGTTGCGTCAACAAAGATATGTTAGTATAACTGGGACTTTCATCAGTAGGATGAGCTGATTGAATAAGTCTAAAAGGAGTACTAAAATGATAAATTGTTCCAAACATAACCAAAGACTTCACGACAAAGTCACATTGGAACCCGTAGCCTCTCACAAGCAGGCTTTAAGCTTTGAATTAAACAATTCCGAAAACGATGTATATTTCGAAGTAAGAGCAACAACTTTATACTGATTTTTTCAGTGAACCAAAATAGAACAGATGACGTGACTCTAGCCTTCGAGAGGGAGAGGCCATATAACTAAAACTATTTGCGATCTTCAAAGCAATAAGAAGCAGCTGGAAGTGATAATTGTGCAAATCTTTCTAAACACAGAATTCGCCATCACAGTATACGAGATATACAGGAATAACAATTAACAAGAAACATTAATTGATGGTGCTCCTTCAATATTGCAATGTCAGTTGTAGACTCAGAATGCGAATGAAGCTTAGCAGAACTATTCACTGTGGAGGCAAGAGGATTTCACTGGCATGTCTTCATGCTCTCTCTGAGATTCCAGCCTCGAGTCTGCTGAGTTCTGAACCCCGAGCCTGATGACATGCTAACATGCATCATTCGAAAGAAGTGTCTGAATTACATATTGGATTATCACTTTGCTGAAGTCTGGAAAAAGGCGACAGCCATCTGTATATAGATGCTTTCAAATCCACATACGATATGTTGTAGAAGTAACAACTTTCACGTTCACACACACACCTGAACTCCTTGTAATATCTAGACATCGTATAATAAAGAATTCGGATTTCAGCTTCGACACGATATTGAATTTGTACCATTTTCAAATGTGTCCACCCTCAATTTCAAACATCTGGGCCTCAAGAATGATCGATTCACCAAATACGTGTACATACACGGATGACATTGAAAAGAAAAATTTGCGGATTCAAAAAAATATCTTTACCTGTACTAAATCACTTAAAGATGAAATAGACTTTGTGGCAAAAGCAAACAAAAATAGATAATAGAATACCTGCAGATCCAAAAGCCAAATGATATCTACTTTCTGGATTGAACTTAACACAACAAACGTTTGCCTTAGCTTCCAAAGTTGACACGGAATGATCCATATTGGTTGCCCAAAGTTTTACTAAAATAGAATTGGGAGGTAATTATTATCGGAGATGACCTCTTTGCAACATAGAAAACTGCAAGAGAAATGACGGCTTCCTCACAATTTTAACCTTAAATCGCAAAAAAACTCAAGAGCACCGTCAAGCTATTACAATATCACGCATTTTCTGCAAAATACTCAAAATAAATAATTGGAAATCACAGTGCAGTACTATAAAGAATAATGTGAAACAGTTCCCATGGGACAACAATTCAACAAATTACCTGGCTTTTTAGCTATGTCGAGTTAAAATAACCAAAACATAATGGGATTCTTGCATAAATAAAACGATCTTCGAGGGAAACCAAAAAACAGTTCGTTTTATTAGGTTTGTTAAAGAGAGGGAAAACGTTTAATAAAGTAGTTTTAAGAAAACGGTGTTGATACCCCCTTAAACTCCTTCCAAGAATCAGGCACATAATCAATTGAAAGAAACCAGGTAAACCTGGGCACCGGAGAAAGGAAGCAGGTTCCTTATGATGACAGCAAGAAAGCTAAGTACATCCATATCATAAAACAGAACGTCTAAAAAGGATATTTTAAGTGCATTTTGAACATTTCTTCTTGTTTCCACTAAAGTTTGTTTTATATATTTGCATTATACCTTTTCGCATCTACTTCTTCACGAATAGAATATTGCAATCTAATTGTAAAAATATTATGGGCTTAGAAGAGTGATCATTGGTTTCTGGCACTGCTTCTTGGAATTTGATTCTGTCAGTATTTACAATCGGGTAGCAACTTGATAGGAAGAACTGCTCTTGTCAGCTCTATTCTACTGAAATATATTGAGAGAATCAATGGCATAAAAACCTTTAGCATCGTCAGACCCTGAGGCGATAAGCTTTGGATCCACTGTATTAAAATCAACACTCCAACATCGTTTTTCATGTTCCTAAACCAAAAGAAAACTGCTATATACTGTTATATAATATGCAGCTTTCAGGCAGAACGTATGCAAACCTGTTTACTATGGTGCATTAGACACGAAATAGAATAAAATAATTTGCTAACAGTCACAATGTGAAATAAGCATTGATTACAAGTTTCTAAGCGGTTTATACACTGAACGTACTTGAAAGAGTCTTGTATGAGTACCAGTAAATGCGTCCCACAGGGTCACGGAACCTTCGTAATCGCTGCTAGCAAGCATACCTTTGTGATAGTGGTTCCAAGCTATGGAGCTATAAAATTAATAGCACTTTAGAGTTTATAGAGCAATGACGAAAACCAGTTCAGCTTAATGAATTTCAGTTTAAAGACTCATTGCTAACAATGAGCCATTGCGCTACGGAAGCATCCCATAATGCATTTTCAGACAGTTTGAAATCAATTATGGTTAATCAGTAGAAGTTTTCTACCATTTTTTGGATTGTCGCCTGGATAATTTGGCACCCTTGCAAAGGCTTATTGTTAGCAATGAGTCTTTAATGAAATTCAGTTTAATGAGTTTCAGCTAATTTACAAATATTGCTGATGGAAAATATCACGAATCATGACAGGATAAAAACGAATGTAAATAGAAAGAGTGAGATACCTTATTTTGGAGTTGCAAGTCATTTCATGCACAGGGTAATGAATATCAACAACATCCCTGACCACCTGATTATATTCAAAAACCTGTCAAGAAATACCAAAGTTTAAAGTACGGGGCAGAAGGCATCGGCTACATGTCGGACTCGTAGCTATAAGTATGGGTATAAATAAGTCATCTTATGGCTATAAATAAATCATCTTATGGCTATAAATAAGTCATCTTATGGCTATAAATAAGTCATCACATAATTATAAGTAAGTCGCACTCGTGGCTATCAGCAAGTTGTACTTGTGGCTATAGGTAAGCCATAAGTTGAACTATTGGTTATTAGTCGTGGTCATATGTCGTACCCGTGGCTATAGGTTGTACTCGTGGCTATAAGTCGTGCTTGTTGCCATAGATCGTATTCGTGCTGTAAGTAAGTCGTACTCGTAGCTATAGGTAAGTCATCAGTTTCACTCGCAGCTATAAGTTGTACTCGTGAGTATAAGTCGTACTTATTGCCATAAGTTCTACTTTTTGCTATAAGTCGTACTCGAGGCTAAAAGTCAAACTCGAGGCTACAAGTCAAACGAAAATCAACGTTTTATAAATATATATATGACACAAGCACTGAATAAAATCAAAAAGAAAATAATAAAATAATTTTTCACCTTGATCTTTTTTGTAACTCCAGCAATAGCGAAAAAATCGCAGTCACGGTCGAACTCAATGCTACAATAAATAAGATCATCAATTACATATATAAATGAAAGCCTTTAAACAAAGATTATAAATTGAAAGTCTTTCGGAAAAATAGTTTACATTTCTAATGTCAAAAAGTGAGCTGCTTGAAATCAATGTGATATCTGAAACTTGCCAAAGAGCCTGGATATCTTCATCATTATAAACTGGTCGTCCATTCTTCTTCATGATTTTTTCTGACAAATTTGAACAACCATATCCAATCTCTTTGACTTTACATCAAAGTGTATCTATTAACCATTTTGTTTCTGAATTTTTTCGAGTCATGTTTGCTAACCCGACAAGCAAAACCTAAGCAATATATAGCATGACGAGCTGCTTTTAAAAAACGGCTTTACAAAGCAACTTAGCCTTGTACTTTAGAACTATAGTTCATTTATGATATTCTTATTTTTCCCTTTTATTGTTAAAGGGGTTTCAAAAATTTACAAGATCTTTACCATCGTCATGTCACAGTCATTTCAAATTCAAAACAGATAAAACAATAGGGCGTACCCGGCTATCCCTAGGAACCATACTTTCCCAATTTTTCGGGCCGCCTGCCATGGTGGCAGCCTTCCCTAAGCCCTTTAAATTTAGAGATTTTGGGAAATGATAAATGAAAATTTTCCTAGGATACTCCGCGGGTCTTTATCTGTGTTATATTTATTTTGAATGAGTTTCGGCCATACGTCATACTTGGAAATTTTCTTGCCACAAGCCATGATGGCGGCCTTCATTGCGTAGAATCTTCCTTCAGTCTAAATCGAGGTTGAAAATGAAAACGAACACCCTGGCACAATCTTAGCATGATAGCCCTCCACTTTCAATCACGTTTCACACGCCCTGATAAAGTTCTATGAAGGATATAAATCTCTGGAGGCGCCAAAAAGGCGTGTGCCTCCCTAGCCAGTTTCGAGCCACCACGCCACTGGAAACAAGCATGCTAAAGTTAAATGAAATGAACGAACCTTGAAACGATGCTAGACCCATTGTAGATATCGCTTGCGTAGCTCAAAGTTGCTAGGGGTCTGAATTCGCTGTATCGAGTAAACTTTAAAAGGTTGTCAGCGAAAGTTCCCAAAACATCATCTCCTTTATCACCTGTGTAAAAGTATAAGCTGTTAGTCCCTTACAGCATGATTCGTTTTGCTCTACTTTCAACAAAAAGGGACCAAGCCCTATGCAAAAGAAAATTGTTGTCCTGTTGTGCAATGGATATGGTTCTAATCAGCTGGAGAACGTTTCCCTTGAAAAAAAATTGAATGCAGGTCAACTCTGTCGAGCCCCTGTTTAAAAGCAAAAACTTAAATAAATAAACTTCAGACTTTAAATGCGTTGGCAGTGCATTGAATATCTTTACACAACTACAGTGAAACCAAACCCTCTTGAAAGCGGTCTCATTGTTTATCTTTATAATTTTCAAGTTCGTATAATGATTCTTGTGGCTTTTAGTTGTCAACCTCCTCAAAGCGGTCATGAAATACATTTGCAGAATTTTTTGTTCAAGCAGTTCAACACAGCAGTTAACACAAAATCCGCACATTGGATAATGGCGAGAGAGCGACTCTTCATTTTCCTATTAATGACGTGCTCAAAATATGACATTGGCAGCTCTTTTCTTCAACATTTCAATCTGCTATTGTCCTTAACATGCTTAACGGTATGTTGTAAATGACTGTATTGTTGCTTTACACAAGTAGAAGGTAGCATGGATGTTAAATGTTGGTCGAATGCGTCTAGCTTCTTTAGCGTATTCAATTATTTTGTCACTCTGGGATAATGATACCGCTCTATAGTAGATCGATATGAATCCCTGGGTATTTGTTATTGTCAGTATTCTTTATGGGCACAGAATTTCTTTTTTTTGGTATTTCATTTCTGCCATTTCTATCTTCTTCTTCATTACTGCTTTGTTAAATTCGATAAATCTAAGTATTGCACGAGTATTGCTGTGACTGAATCCCTTATTCATCTCAGCCTGTCATTTATCCGAAAACAAGAGATCGTTGTCATCAGCAGACATTGCAGCTTTGCATTTATAAAAACAGAATTAGATGTCGTTTATATGAGTGAGGAAAAGTTCTGCTGAACCGTAGGGGACGGCATCTGTTATGTTCTCTTTTCGTTAGAGCTCCTTCAAAGCAAGTAACTTGTGTCATTGTGTAAGGTAACTCTGCTAAAACTTTTGCTATGAATCTACCAAATGGAATATGGACAGTATCAACAGCATTTTCAGACCTAGATATCGGGCTTCTGTAATTTGGCCCTTGTCCATCCCTTTGGGCAGCCGAAGATGCTGAATGTCTGAATCCTGACCGTTGAAATGGCAGAAAGTTATACGTTTTTAAATAGCTGATTGAGATTACTTCTCCAGTAGTATTGTAGATGGTCTTTAGGAGTTCTTTTACATAAAACTCTTAATTATGGGGGTACATCGTGCTGGACAAATGTGGAAAATGACTTGGGAGGTTCCTTTCGCTGCCCCTAAATGGAGTCTGAAGAAATATATTATATTCACACAGATTTTGACCTCTTTAAGAACATTAGTTAATTTCCTGCTGAGCTACAACAAAACTTCTGATAGCGAAACTGGACTCATCTAACGTCTAAAACAGTCAAAACGTCGAGGTGCCCCAGCAAGCGACTCGACGCAAAGATTTGGGGCTACGTTTACAAAAGGCCATTGAAACAATTTGCAAATGAATATATGCTATCAAAAGCCTTAAAAGATGCAAGCAATCGAACTTTGTTTTTAAGCTGTTTGATAAATACGTTCTCGGCAGCTATGTAAGCAAGCATCTAAATATTCTGTCTCAAGCGCCGTACTTGATCACCCAACAATTTAGACCAGAAAGAAACTATTTTTGTCTGTCCAAATACGGTCTGTGGTCAATTCAAATACATCTTGAGAGGAGGGTGTATCTTTAAACGTGAAGCACTACTTACAACTCATTTTGCCGTGTCTCAAATTGAAGTAGCACGATTCTAAGTCTTCGAAATGCATGTGGACTCGCTTGCGTCTAGCGGCCAAAGTTGCTGATGACATGGCTGGCTGATTACCCTAAATAGAAAAATCACACTGTTGTAATAAAATCATACAACTGGGTAAAGGACAAATGCCTATCAGAAGAAAAAGGCAAAGCTTCTCTGATTAATGTTCAAGAACCATTAATAGATGAAATTCAAAAGAGACAATGTTAAAAATACCTCAAATTGACAAATTTAGGGATAGACATGAAAACGACCTAGGAAGGACATGTAAACAACTCACGCATCGGCTAGCATTGAATCCTTCCTGGCAATCATACGAAGATTCATCAACTTGAAAGCTGTAAAATTGCAAAATAGTAACTAATAAGCAACCGAGACACGTCTTTGACAATTTGTTACTCCTATTATTTGCCGTAATTGTTGGGCAGCTCGTGCGCAATAAAAGCGAAGTCTTATACACTTAGAAGTCTGACAATTGCAATAGTTATTACTTTACTTAACCATTATGTAAAACATTGCCCTCGCATTACACCATTCCTTGTTTGTTCTTTGTTCAAGTTAACTGCTTGCAATTTTTTTTACCATTTTTTGCTAGCTGAACTAAATTTCAGTTTATCATTTTTTGGTCTATCTACTATTATATCACTGAATCACCATTCTACATAAATTTTTCAACTAACCATTTAGCCATTTTAGCACATAAAAGTTTAGCAGCATTTCAGTTTAGATGATTACATCAGCATTCTTTAACCTGTGCAACGTCAACATTTGCTGTTGTTCCATCTTTTCAACTTTAAAGCCTGCCATTGTGCAACCTCATTACAATATAACTAGTTTGATGCCAGGGTCGGAGGGTTAACTGAAGAAAAAGTTTTTACCTGGAGCTTGAAAGGCTAAGCGGAGGTGGTCCAGTAGGTGTAGTTGGCACAACATGTGGCTACAAAAATATGAAATTTAAAGTAGTCATCAGACATGGGAAAACCGACAGGTATCCGAATGACAAAATGGTTGAACTACTAAAAGGCTATGGGCATGATTTTATATTTCAAACGACATACCAATGAAAGGTTTTGATATTCCGTGTTGTGGTTCGTAATTTTCTTCTACAAAACAAGAAAAAGACTTTACTCCATTTAAACCTGGAGCACATTTTATTAAAAAAGACACCAGAAAAAAAGGTTCAAAAGAAAAGAATTTGAGGCAAATAAAAAACAAATACAAGCATACCCTAACTCTATCTAAATCTTCATCCAGCCATTTGACTTCCTTCATTAACCCATCCATTTGCTAAGAATAACGACATATACCCGAATTATACAGATGACTGTTTAAAAAAGATTAATCAATGCTGCAAGGGTCGTAATAAGATCGCAGAGATGATTTTAACATAACAATATATAGAGACCACGTAAACATTTGCTCTGAACAAACGCATTGCTCTTATAAAGATTAACATAAGAAAATAGTTCGTTATATCGGGAGTTCGTAAAAGCGTTTCTTGTGTTTTTTTGCAGTACACGCCTAAAAAAATACGGTGGGCTTGTTTAGTCTATTTTAAACTTCTGAGGACATTTAACTCCAAAAACTAAGCTGAATTCAAATATTCGTAATGGTTAGTCATAGAAAATGAAAATCGTCCTGTGCCTCTTATAATCTAGGACATGGACATTGGCAAAGTTGATATCACTTCACTTCTAGGTGGTGGCTGAAAGACATTTTCGATTCAGACTCTATTTGTCTTTTTCTGCTTCTCCATCTGAGTCTCTCAAAAAACGTTTATCGTCGCTCATTGCCAATGTCCCAGTTGTAAGAAGGTATCCGACACTGTCAATGTTTAATCCAATTCTTATCTCATTCTCTGAGTCTATCAGCCAGTGATTGAAATGTATCGCTATTTAGGGATTCGTTATATCGGGATTTACTTATGCTAAATTTGGCTGCTGAATAATCAAAAATACCGTATATATAAAATTCATGCTACCAAAAGCTGTATTGCTGGTGAAAACGGAAAACTACCTCTTGTTTGTGCTGCTTAACTTGATTAAGAAAATCTTTTAAGATCTCCAATTGTGCAGCTTTACCATCCTTGAAAAAAATTGCAAGAAGAATGAAAATTGACCAGAAATGGCATCGACATTGCTTACAACAAATCCCTACCTACCGTTTAGGATGGCACCCCCTGGCATAAAAAGTTGTAGAAAGTTGAAATCAGGGCGGGTATCTGGGAGACTAAGGTGAGATATTGAGCGTATAGCAGGATTCACGTGAAAGCTAGCCTATAGAAGGTGCCTGTACGCGACTAGTAGTGATAACACAGTGGCCAATGTGAATAAACATCTCTGCCAAAACGTATTTGTGATGCTGAATACAATATATGCCGAAGAGATACTGCTGGTCCCAAATGGTTTGGCTTAGGCGAAGATGAAAATTCAAGATAAGATACAAGCGAAGGTACAAGCAAATGCAAAAAATACACTGACGTACAGATTCAAGTAAATCTCTTCTCCTTTGCAGTGCACCAAGCAAAAACTTAACATCAGAGAGTTCCAGGCCTTCAGCAGATATCATTTCTTTCAATTCAGCAACATAATTTGCCTAAAACATGATGGAGTAATACCTAAAATGTTGGTAGCAGTATGAGCTATAGACTTTAAAAGTGTTTACGAAAATGGCATTTGCACTAATTGAAGAATAATCATTATACAGACTGCAGGACATTGAAAGCTTCAAGCAAAAGTATAGATATTTGTGGGAATCTAATCACGAACAAAGAAGAAAAACTAGTTTGTACACAACTGTATTTTCTGATGCATATTCACGGACTTTGAAATTATCTTTAATTGGCTCATCAAAGACCTGCGATGGTTCACTGTCTTTTAATTAAAAGAACTATGAAGCAGCAGCTGTCTACATTTATATCAATCAGGTGGGGAAAGGGAAATGGTACTCTAACCTCTTTGGATACTCCTTAGCTCTTAACTTAGTTCTTAGTTTGTAGGCCTGGGCCCCCCCAAATGACAGCCTGAATTTCCACCACTGATGCTGACAGCATCACCATAATCAGCATCAAATCCAATGAAACGTTAAACAGCAGTTGATAAGTCATATGCTAGAGGTATGTAGCAATGGTAAGCAGCAAAGATAGCAACATTGATAAAAACAGACATGGACTTTGAGCTGATCCTTGATTTAGCCAACAGCAATGAAAGGAAATTCAGTTTTCTTGAATTTTCAGTTTGATTCACATTCTGCTATACAATAATGAAACAAAAGTACTTACTGCACCTTCCTTTTTTCTCCTTTTCGGCAAGATCTTTCCTTGCTTATACTTCAAAATAACATCATTTACTACAACGAAAGATTTGACTACTAAGATAGTTGCATGTAAAGCTATTGCTGTGGCACTTATTCCAACAGGAAGCCCTATGGTCCAGCAGCTTAGATACACAATTCTTAAGGCTAGTGAATAAGATATAAATATTTCCCTATACAAACATATATGCAAGTCATGGGCACAGCATACATTCTTACCCATTTTCTAGCAAGGTGAAAGTTGAAAACTTTTAAAAAAGATGGTCAAATATTTCCTAAATTACACATTTTTTCAGGGAATTCTGGTGACATAAAAATATCTATATTGAGACAGAGGCTCAAAAATTTACTGAATTTACTTTTTCAGAATTGAAAATTGTAAATACAAAAGAAGTAGAAAATGGAAGTAGAAAAATAACATTTGTTTGCTGGCCTTGAATATATGCGAATCTAAGATGAGTCTTTCAGATTTCATTTAACAACTGAAACATTGATATAAAATGCAGTTCTACTTTACTAAAATTGGAGGAGGCAGATAATTTTGGTTTTTTTTGTCACAGCTTAATTCTAATATCCTAAAAGATTTCCACATGTTCTGAGGTATACTCAGTCAGGGCAATGCTATCCTGCCTATCAATACATTCTTGATAAAGCATGACTACAATAAAATAAAATTAGACAAAAAAAGACACAACTACTTACAAAGAAAATTTGGGAAAATTTGATCTTTTCTCTCAATGATGCAGTTGCATTTTGGGCATCTGTTGCTCTCTTCCAAACTACTTACAATGCACTGATAACTATAAAGAAACATGCTCTGAAAACAACAGTGTGACCATAATATGTTTAAAAATTATTGAAATAATGTATATATGTATTTTAAAATTTTTTGTCTCTGTTGCTCTTTAAAACTTCTAGTACAAATGTTGTAATTGTAAAAGCAGATGGTACATACCAAAAACTATGTCCACATTTGGTCATGTATGCTTCCTTAATCATTTCAAAGCAAACTGGACTGAAAATAATTAACAGATATTGTTAATCATCAGTAACCAAAAAAATTCCTGCATAAAAAATAGTTTAAATTATCCAGTTATAAAATATATTATTGAAAGGCTCTAAAATTATTTTGTCCTTTTAGAATCTGACATTGAACATTGCAACATGTTTTCAATTTTATAATTCAAGTTTTTACTTAACAATTGTATATAAACTAAAAGCATGGCTTATTTTATCGATTGTTTTGGGTGGCCTGATAACTTTTTGCATTCAAAATACAAGGCAGCTTCTTAATTGTTTAAGCTGTGTCAAGTGTAATTGCATGGGACTGTCTGTTATTTCTGCATGGAATGGTAAGATGAAACATAAGGAATCAAATGATGTCAAATGAATCCACTGTGAAATCTAGAATCTTTCCAGGAGCATCAGGCAAAAAATATTTTGCAGTCTGGAAATGGGTGAGTGGTTAGCAGCTATTGATTGATCAACCATGCAATTTCCAATGTTATTTTTGATTGGTTTTCTCCCAAATTCTATTGAATATTTAAATGTTTTTATGTTGATCCATATATGGTTAAATTATGTTTGTTGTCTGCCATATTACCACATTTTCAAAAAAGGAAAAATAGCAACTAATTATTGATCTAAGTTTCGAACAGGCTTCGATGTTGTATTGAATTTGATTATAGTTTACTCTTTCAAATTGATATCGAGGAATTCGCAAACGTAACGAAAAATTATTTTTCGGATTTATAGAAATTTTAAAAATTATTCAATAAAATTTTGGTTTAGGTCTAAATAGCGTGCACAGGAAGGATAATTAATAGTTTGCATTTCGAGGAATCTTACCAAACAAAATCATTATTCTTGTCTGTGAATGTATTCGAAAATGTACTGAAAATTGGCGGTTCTTGCTTAACTTTCCTTTTACCAGACCGTTTGGACGAGTTAGAATCGGAGCTGAGTTGTACCGATGCAGAGGCAGTTCCTGCTTGTGGGTGCGTATGACTTTGACTTTGGGGCACAGCGCTTGCAGTTGTTGACAAACCAGAACTTACAGTAGAGTTTGTCGCCGACATATTTTAGCTTTTTTGACGAGGCAGAAGTCTAAAAAGACAACACCTAACATTCAATGCCGCAAACAACTTTTGGATTTCGTTGCCCTAGAGCAATGCACTCAACTGCCTAGGCCCGGTATACAAACGGTTTCGGAACCTGACCCCAATACGAGGCACGATGGATAGGAGATCGACTGTTGCTATAGCAATTTCTGTATTGACTGCTTGTTGCTATTTGCTTCTTTCTTAGGGATTTATTTGGTAATCGATCCTTTAGTTAAAGAGTCTAGATCATTGGACTGGTTAGTCATTTAAGCTGTTTATAGTTTTTTAAGGAAAAAGCAGATATGGATTCAAATGGAGGTATGATGCTTGGCATTCAGAGAGAATCCTTGAATAACAATCCACTACTGATAAGGGTATGTGAAGCTTGTATTTTTGAAGTGCAATTAATGCTCATTCTCAGAAAGTTGTCATGGATTATCTATGTGTCCTTTCAAAAGCAACGAAATGATTAATTTTAATATCATCAAATGCTTGAAGAGGTGGCATTACATTTTACTATCTTTATTATGTTTAAGATTAATCCTTACACTGATAGCTTAACTTGGCAAATAATTGAAGAATAATTTTCATCATGTTCTTTGCAAAGGTGTTTCCACTTTGCAATAAATTTCTATGCACTCGAGGTTTAGGAGTTTAATGCACTCTTTAGTTTCTTCTTCCGAGAGTTTCAAGGACATTGTTTTTATTTTCCACATGTGCCATAATGAATCAATCTAATGAAAGGGCACTTGGCAATTCCAATCTAATGCAACAAAAATCCTGTCCCAGTTTGCCGGCATCTGTAAATTGATGAAAGATGGCTCAGTGTTTAGTGTGGTTTGCACCCCTGACAGGACAAAATTTTCACTCAGAGTGAGAAGAGTTGCAAGTGCTCTGTGGTTCCAGGTCTAGGGATCACAAACACAAGCAACAAACACATCAACCTCTACGCCAACACAGTATTTTATTCTTTATTACACACAAATACATCACAGGTAATAAGAATGTCCACATTCTCCAACCTAAGTTACATTGATTCCACTCTGGTTTAAAGTGGAAATCATTTGCCTGTGTGTTGATAAATTAATACATCCACCAATTGACCAAGGTACCCTGTTATTGTGCTTAATAGATTGTATAAAACATGATTGTCAAATATATAACCGCTCATTTTTTGTAATCAGTCAGAGCTGGGGAGACCGTTAAGGAGGTGCTTCACATTGCCACCAGAAGATTTTGTTTATGGTAAAAGGAGTTTTGGTAATGAAACAGGAGCAGCTGATGGTATGTACAATTTACTTGCCTTGCTTTCCAGGGTTTGTCATTCCAAATAACTGGACTCTTTGCACTTTTTTTCTCCTTTAGAGTACTTGAACTTAAAGTTCATAAGCTTCTGGGACCCATAGGATACTAATAATGCAGCACTGTAAATTCAGTTAAGAAAGAATTAGATCATCCTCCTACAGGCCCAACTCACTTTATATTCAAATTTTTAGGATTTTTTAGTTTACCTAACCAACTTTAAGTATGTTCTATGCTCTATGTTGATACAATTTTACTTTTGCTGTAATTTTGTCTCAAGCTGTTTGCTATACACCTTGTAACTTTACATTATATAATATATATATATATATATATATATATTTATATATTTATATGTACTCTGATAGATGATATATTGTCAAGCAAATGATTGCATTACTATGTTTGATATTGCTTGGAATGACTAGATAGAATAATCTTGTTCTAAACATTTAATAATGTATGCCCTGCCTATACTGCACCAAGAACTATATTAAAATAAGTAAAACAATAATTTTCATCAAGCAGATAAGATATAGATGATACAAAATACTGATCTGCATCCTAAAAAGTATAATGTTTCAAGCTAATATGCTGCTATATCATGCAAATGATAATGTTAATTATGTAAGATTTTGGACACATAGATTAGATATCCATGTTTCTTTTTGACAGCACTATCTTCATGGAAACCTTCGAACCAAAAATTTCCCAACAGAAATGCATCAGCTCGTACAAGGGATTTTATCTCTTTAAATAAAGCAGCAACACAAGCTGGTTTAGTCACTGCCCAGGAGCATTCTCAGTACAGGGCAACACATGATGTGAAGAGAAAACCTTCAGCAAAGGAACAAAATATGAAACTGCCCAAAAGGCTACCACCAACAATGGTCTTTGGTGTTCCAACACAGTAAGTATGACAAAAGCTTTGTACTTCCATGTTAAAAAAACCCTTAAAAATCATTTCATTCCATAGAATTTTAAAATCATGGCTTTCATACCAGTCCTGTGCTTGTTATTCTGATCAGGCAATTTTGATTCTTAAATGGGTAAATATATTTCTTTGCTTAGATATTTTGATCTATGTTTTTATGTTTTAAAATATTTCCTTTTTTTCAGAGCCATTTTTAGATTTTTATACTGCAAAAATTGTCCACATAAAATTTTTCATACTTTATCACACCCCCCCCCATATTCCATGTCTCAAATTTCTTGCCCCTCTAGCAGACTGGCACAAAAATAGTGAGCCATGCATTCAAAATTTCCATTTCAGGAGGACAGCAACACCTGTCTTTGATTTACTTGAACACAGATACCAATCCAAGTGGTTGAATGAAAGAAAACAAGCAGAACTTAATAGTAGGAAAAATAATGAAACACAGGTAATGTCATAAATTTGGTAAACAGTTTCTTAACAGTTTAATCTAATGTAAAATCGGTTCGAAATTATCGAAATTATATTCATTGGTTTTTTTTCTATCTTAATTGCTGTTTACCAATTTATTAACATTTTTTTATTAGACAAGGTCAGGAAGTGGAAAAGGATATTATGAAACCAGAGCCTCTATGATGAGAAGACATTCACCTCCAGTTGATCCTCCTCCACTATGGCAAATGAGACGGTTCAAGAAGGTACATTTGTCCACATATACTGTTTTATCCTCTCCTTACCCTAATCAGTAGAGTTTAATAAGATTTTTCTAGAATGGCACTGCATCCTTGATGGGAGATTGAGGAGGGTAGTGAGTACTTAAAAAACTGAATAGTGAGTATTTTCTAATAATCTCTTGAGGTGAGTAACACATGATCTTTTCATTATTATCAATTTACATTTGATTTCAACCAATGAAAAACCCCCTGCAAAAAACACACAGTTTTTCCACATTGTTCAGCCTACCTAAAATATGTCATGTTCAATGGTTTTCCATCTTTGCATCTGTTTTTGAAAAATAAGATGCTCTGTCCCAAATACAAGAAGATCTACAAATTTTTTGCCACACTGAAACGCACATGCTCAAAGTCTTTTCTAGCTGCTGATAAAGCTAATTTTATAAAAACTCACTTTGATAAATAAATAGCATATTTTTTCTTTGTACGTCGATTAACTCAGCTCAAGAAAGTTGATCTGTAGCATACTACCTATCACTTGGCATTACCAAGAAGAAGCTCTTTTAACATAATTTGCATAGAGCAATTAGCAATATGCTCTTAATTTATCTGTGACTCTTTAATTCAGAGCTTAAATATAGTTTTCCTTTTTTGTTGTTCAGTGACGTCGCCAGCTCGGAAAAAAACTAGGGTGGACAAAAACAAATTTTCTCGGTCATGCTGCTCAGACACTTGGAAAGGCCTTTTTTAGTATTTTTTGATCTATTTCGAAATTTTTAGACAACAACTTTTTCAAGAAGAATTTTTCATAACAGTGCTATTTTGCAAGAATGAAATCGTAATCCCTCCCTCCCCCCTCAAGGTTTTTCAATGGTTTTCAAGGTATTAGAAACAATTTACGTCTTCATTTGGAGTTGACATGTCCACCCCGGTCCACCCTGTGGCCCCGCCGCTGGTTTTGTTTTATACCGATCTGAGAATACTTGTCTCAAAATCAAACTAATCAGCTTAGGTCATTACTTTTGCCAACCATGCTTCCCTTAGTTTTAACCACTACCCTTGAAAAAGCTCCACTCCCCTCTCCCCATTCTTCTATGCAGTTTAATCGAGATGCAGCATAAAGTACTCCCTTTCTGTTCATTATTAAACTGAATTCAGCAAGAAATAGAAAAGGGCTAAAATTTACGAGGTATTAACGACAAGACCGCCGAAGGCAACAAATAGATCAATAATCCGAAATAAAATGTCCTTTTATGCTTTGATTTATAATTTAGGCTTGATTTCTTAGAATCTTTTTGAATGAAATTGTAAGCGAAATGAGCTTGAAAGTTCAAAACCAGCTATTAACATACCCACCTGAGGACCGTTTTTATAACCCACACCTTTCTTTAGCCTTCCCGCTCGAATTAGCTCGAATTCAGTGAAAATTTCCTGAATTAACAACCTCTAGGATTGTTAATTCGATTATTTCACTAGTTTTCTTCGGAGACCTTTTTCAGATTAAAGCTTTTTAAGCGAATTTCAAGTTTGTTCAATAGTTCAATAAATGAAAGCAAACTAAAAACTTACTTCCACTAAACTGTATTTTTGATAAAAAGCAAGATCAATTGCCTTTTTGTTCCACTGGTCATCATTTTCAAAAAATTAATCAATTATGTCCAGAAACACCGTAAAATGCGGTAGAAAGTGCACACACTTCTTCAGGGACGAAAACAAGTTGCTAATTTGGAGGGGCGTGGAAGGATGAAAATTCCAACTTTAAGTGAGAAATTTTTCATTCGACCAGTAAATCTACTGTACCTACTAAATAGATATTTGTTAAAAGCCCGAACACCATAGTTCTATTTTCATTATGATTACCAAAACTTTACTCAATAATTAGCCTAAAGCATAAAAGCCTAAATCTCTAAATTTTGATTTACATGAAACAAACATTTAAACCTACTGTAAGAAATAAAGCAACATTTAAGCAAAACCAGTATTAGATATACTTAATGATTAGTAGTACTGTTTCAGATCACTTGATCAATTTTATCTAAATTGATCAATTAACCAATTTATGCAGATCAATTTTATCTAAAATACATTTTTTCACGATATAGAAGCACCAAGAATTTGAGCCTTTTATTTTTGTTCTTGATCGAAGAAAACGTCTAACAATTTTCAGAGGCCCAGATGCCTTTTCGTTCTTTACAATTGAAATGATGATTTGAGAGCAAACTTGTGCATATGCCCGATTCGAAAGATGAAACACTCTTCTTTGATAAAATACTTCTACTGCAGCTTTTGCAATGTGTTCTTGCTTCACAGCAGTTTTGTCATAGGTCATAGGAATTTATGATAAGGATATCTAATTTTTAGTACTGAACGATTCTTAATCTTTTATTGGATTAACTACTCGTAGTTTATTATAAAACTCCCACTCTAATATTTTCTGATCAATACGGGTATTATCATTCTAAACTGTAAAGTTTCAAGTTTCTTATCCGGAAATTCACCTTGTCTGTTCGTAATTTGATTCAACTCCCGCCAGAAAGAAAGCAAACGGGACAATTGTGCAATTTGGATCCAGTGGAGACTGGATTCACAATAGAAAACGATTACTGGATGGGTCAGCTTCAGCCTGTGAATTTTAATGTTTAGAATTTTTACTTTTAATATAAAAAACTTCTTAAAATATAAAATTCAAAAGTTTGGTCTTAAGAAAAAAATTCCAAGTTTCAACCGTTAAGTTTTCAAACTGTAACTCGATTTTCCAAAAATTGGGGGGCGTTTCGCCCCCATGCCCCCTATTATTAAGGTGCCTGCACTTCTTCCTGACTGACAGCATTGACAGAAAAATTAATAGAATACTCGGAAATGCAACAATTTTAGACAGGATTCGAGGAGAGTTAGAAACTAGGCACTTGTATTTGCTTTAAGGAATACATTTTATATGTGATTAAATACAGCTTCCTTGTTTTTTAGATTCCTGGACAGTTAGAAACATTTAGATCAGACGGCGCTCGAGGCAAGGCATTTTCGCATCATGCAACTGACTGTACCTCCAGAACAGGCGTATTTGGACATGGAATATATGAAGGAGCAAAGAACTAAAATTTTTATTGAATTGCTTATTGCCCTAACTGTATATAAAATTAATGTAATTTAATGATATTTATGTAAGATTTTATGACAATTAGGTTTAAATCGATAACAAAGATGAGAAAAATGTCAGCTAGGTTCTGTCAAGATATTTTGTACTGAGATTTGGATGCTTCATTCTTATCAAAGTGTATCAGAAAAAGCAAAGTCTCTTCTTGCAAACACTGTCAGAGCTCAGCGGTTTAAAGCCCACTTCAGAACTTTGAGTCATTACTTTTCTTTCCTTTTTTATATCAGGGAAAGGGTGTGAAACTGGTTCTTAATCCCGGTTTCCGATTCCTTAACCAGTCCCTAAGTTTCCTAAGCAGAAAATATCATCCTACAATGCGATATCAAGCATATTCCAGTTTCGATTCAATAAAAACAATTCATCAAGCCATTACCCTTCCTCCTTCCTTGAAAAAATCAGCCTAAACTGGTCTTTGTTTTGTATTTTTTTGTCAAATGTTCAATCTTTTGTGGAATCTCTTTAATGCCGTCTATCGACATTCTCCAAGGCCTTCCATTTAAATTTTTGCATTTAATATTCCTCCCATGATGTTAAGGAACAGGGTTCAATTTCTGCCTCTTTTATGTTGCCAAATATATCAGCTTCTCTTCCCCCTCAAATGTATCAATTGTTGTAGCTTCCTTTATCCAGCTAATTTTCAATCTTCTTGGATAACACCATGTTTCAAATATATTAGTCCTCCGTGTTGCCCCCCCCCCCTATTTTTCATGTCTCACAGGCCCATGTTGAGAATGAAATGATATATGTTTTCAGTAACCTCTTCTAAGATTTCATATTGATATTGCTTTTCAAGGGTTCCTTTGACTCCTGGAATGATTTCTTTGCTATTCCAAATCTCCTTTTTATTCCCTAAAAGAGTTTAGCGTATTCCTTAATAAGTGTGCCAAGATACTTATATAGCTTTATTTGTTCTAATGCTATCTCAATTGATTTTATTTCAACTTTCGTTGCTGGATGTTTTCTATGGCCTCAATCTTCCTCGCGTTTAATTCCATAACATATTCTGTACAACATTAATTTATCTTTTCAATAAATCTTGTACATGTTTTTCTATGGTAGCCAGTAATTCAATGTCATCACTGGCATCTGTAATTTTTTTCATTTGTTTAATTCAGTTCCAAAGCCCGATTCATAAAAATGCTGTTGCTAGAACATAGACTCTATACTAACCCGACACCTTGACTTTTGTAAGTAGTGAATTACTACTCTACTTTGGCTCAATCTGACAAGTGCTTTATTGTAGTCTTTTAAGCATGCCAAAATTTTCTGTTTTTGAAGGCCATTCTCTCTGTAATTGGCCTTATTTGACATTCTGCATGTCTAGTTCCTTACACCTATCTGGTTCCGTTTGGTTTCAATCATTCTTTTCTCCAATGTTGGTAGACAAAATGTGTAGTAAGATCAAATGTGACACCATGCTGATGTATGTGCTGTGTACTGTCTTGGGAAGTTAATTGTAATCTGATTTAAGGCGATATTCCGGTTAAATGCACGTATTTCAAAATTACTTTGTTTGCCATCGTCTTTGTCACCTCTTCATTACCCATATTCTGCAAAAGTTCTGCTAGGGTTTTGTCTTATCTAGTGAATTTTCCTTTTGGTTGTTTAGCGACGAATTGGCCTCATTTTCATCTCTAAGATGTTCACTGTGTTATGCAGGTTATTTGTTTTAATAAGTAAAGCAGGACTCTCAGAAAACAGTTCCTTGTTCATCTTTGTTCTTCACATCTTGGTCTGATTGTATTTTTTATGTTCACAGATGCTTAACTTTCGTACAGTTTTGGATTGTGTGGATAATCAAGCAATTCACTTATATTGCATATATTCTTAAAGTGTTGGACTATCTTTGACTATCTTTTGATCAAGTCTTGAAGCATTCCACTTTTTTTGTAGATGTGTTCTTTTTTCATTCTTTTATATGTTGTTTTATACTTATAACGACCACGCTATGTTATGAATCACAATCTTATATTTATTTATCATAATGTGATCTCTTTATTTCTGTTTTCCCTCTTTATTTCCGTTCAAATTTTTCCGTTGTTTGAACTATGTGTTGCATACTTCATATTAGATTTAATTTAGATTCTACAGTTCAATCCAGTTTATTGTTCCTTTTACATAGGCTATATGATCCCACGACCTCCTCCTTTTTTCCGATCTTGGCATGAAAATCACTCTTCAATAAAACTATATCGTCACATATCTTGATTTCTACTATTGTGTTTTGAATTTCTTGTAAAGTTTTCAATCTCCTGAACTTAATTTTTTTGTAGTTTGTGCGTTAATTTGACAAAAGCAAAATTCCTTGGCTATTATCACTCTTTAGATTACAAGTTTTATCTTATTATATTTCATTTTGCAATGCCTCTTATCGCAAACAACAATTTCTTGTTACAGTAGCTCTCTCTTGCAAGATCTCCTCAACAAGACTTGTGTGCGTTTGGATATCACATCCCCCGTCGGCATCATAAACACCAGGAGGCTTTTGTTTGTATGATGAGTAGGACGGGGACTCTAGTAACAGGATAAAGGTTTTAATTCTTTGTATCCACCTGTTAATGGCACAAGAGTCCTTGAGCCCTCCCATATTCAGCCTGCAAAAGTCCATGATGAAGACTATAAGAGATTCCTCCACTTAACCACAAACTGATCGCTGCATTTTTAATCATAACACTTATAAACAATGCATGAATATAGATAGCCCAACGTAATATGTGCAAAGAATGTAACTTAACGATATCGTTGTATTAAATCGTTTAATATATTGAACTCTCTTTCTTTTCAGAAAGAGGTAGCTTTGAAATTTTCCGTATTCTGTTTCCGTTCTTATTAACTGCAATTCAAGACTTCACAATTGCTTTATGAAAAATCTAAAATTCCCGGATGTTAAAATTCTTAGAAAATGTTTCTGTCACATGTGGAATCCGAGTTTGGCTTCTTCTTCTTAGTTTGGCTTAAAGTCAGTTAGCGGTCAATGCGCTGCTGTGGCCATTACCAGAGCACGCCACCCTTCTCGGTCAACAGCCTAATGAACTGAAACAGCCAAACTTCCTCAACCAATTTAACAATGTTAGTGGCCTTCCTCTCCTTCTCCTACCCTAAACCTTTCCCTCGACAATTTACCTTTCCATACCTCCATTTCTTTCATTTTGACCAAAGAAACGCATCTTCCTCAAGATCATGTCTTTTCTACAGTACAAGACTGGTCTCAATTTTATCTAGCACCTACTGGCTTGCCCTTTTATCTGTCCACGAGACTCTTAATAACCTTACATAACGCCATAACTCCTCAAAGGAGTCAATCTTTTTCCTGTCTGTTTCTGTAAATATCCAGGACTCGCACACATATGATGCTACAGCAAAGGCAGTGGCATGTAGCAGCCATAACAGCGGCTTGGTGGATACTCCTCTGCTTTTCAAGATTTTTATCATACTCTGCACAGTGGACTTGGCCATAGCCTTGCTTCTTTTTCATGACGTGTCAATAACTGATCCCAGATGCACAAAATTATCAACCTCTCCAATTTTTCTCTTCATCTAACATAAACTCCTCTGTATCCACTCGATTACTGTCTTCAACCATGAACTTTGTTTTCTTGGTGTTGTAAAGCAGACTTTATTTCTTACTGATCTCTTTCATTTCCTTCAAGAGCTTCAGTAACTCTGATTTTGAATTGCACATTATTGTTGTGTCATCTGCGAGTTTGTCTACCATAGTTTAATGATGAAATGTAATTGACTTATTTGCATGCGATATTTTCATTGTCACGTTGCACAAAAGTAGGTTTTATGATGGCTTAAAGAAGCTGACAATAAAAAAAATTCTAAATTTTAGTTGCAATGGGAATTTTGACATTGTTTACCAAACGTCAACAGCTGATTAGAGACTTAATTTACCATGATGGGAATTTCTTCTGAATTTCAGTGTCCATTCTAGATAGAATTATGGGCAAATTTCTATGAGTGGAGACAAGTACACTTAGTACACCGAGAAGGTTATTGGCAAAATTCAATGAATTGAGAAAAATTATTGTTCAGCCTTATGTTTACGTTAATGCCATATAAAGGGTTAATGCAATAAAGATTCATTCGATGCTTAGATATTATAGAAGCCATTTTTTTATCTATCTGCTAATATTCACAAGTAACTTGGATGAAGACTGACAGATTTGATTGCAAATTGTAATTAGGCATGTATTGGTTGACTTGCTGGCCTATCGTGGATTAGGTTTTGAAGGTGCAGAGCCAAGAACAAAATAAACCAAATGTCAAATGTGACAAAATAAAGAAAATTCTTCAAAGTCTATGTCAGTGATAACATACAGTCTATTTACATTACCACCAATACAATAACAGGCAACTACAGAAATATGTTTGCATATTTGCATGACTGACAAAATGCAAGTATAGCAATCTTAAACCATTGCAGCTTCTCACCCAACGAGAGAGTGTTCTAAATTACAGTTCATTCTGAAATTCTTATTTTTGAAAAAATTTTCAGTCATACGTTTCAAATTGATTTCACGTCAAAGAAGTAAGCATTTACTTAGGGAGAGGAATTATTCGAAAGAAGCCATTTTGAAGTTTACTTTTAGTCTTTTAATGCCTATTATATTCCATATTTAAAGTTTATACGATTATTATCAAGAGAAGCTCTATGAATCGTAGCAAAAAAGGCGCAAATACATGGGCCTGCCATGAGAACAATTCGCAATAAGAATGGTTTTTGCAATTGCCGTTAAAAATTAATGAATATAAGGCAAGGTCACAAGATTCATAACTGCAATACTTGTGCTCGTTAACATATAGAGAATATATCTTTTTATTGAGAATAATCAATGAAAATCGATATAAGCGTTCTTTGATTTACATTCTTCCCTCTTGGCAGCTGCCAGGTCTGACACGTGATCAGCAATTGGTCCAAATGAGATTTCATTATAGAAAAAAGGCAGCAATGTTTGCCAGGCAACACTGCTTCTTCAGCCATGCAACAGCAGCCAAAATAAATTCTTCTTAGGACTTGTCTCGATTTGAATTCAAACCAGATATTGGTATTCAAACTTACGTCAACACCAGTCACTCTCTTCGTCGTCGTTGGCGGCATAGACAGCGTATGGACTTTGACCCCTCTCTACCGCTTTTGCAATTTTGTCATTGATTTGTGCAATCATTTGATCATAGTATTGCTGAGTTTGCCTTCCATCTAGTATTTCTTCCTCGTCTTCAAATGGCAACTTTGCATTAGGTACACCTTAAATGAGATTTTCAAACTGCAATTTTTGTTGGTGTTACGATAATGATTGCTCTCCCACTGAAAAGATTGCTTTCGAACTTTTCTTAATTAATTGCTTTAATCTATTTCTGTTTTAATTTGTTTATATGAAACAATGAAAAATACTTTTTAGGAAACTGAGAAGCTATGTTTATTAAGCAGTGTCCTGGAACTTCCTCTATCCCTCTATAGAACCCCCTGATCCAGACGCTTTGACACTGAAATTTATCAAATAAAGCTGCGTTGGAAGATCATTTGTTCATATTTATCTGAATGTGCCCGAAGTGATAAACAAGCAAAAGCATTGTTTACATATGAGTATGCATGAAATCATCAAACAATGCTATATATATTTTATGTTTCTTTCTTCCAAAGAAAAATCTAAGCGAAATGAAACTGCTGTAATGAAACTATAAAACTAGTAATGACAATAGCACCATGATTAATTTCAAAGGTGAACCATAAAATTATACCTTTGCGATTACTGTTGATATGACTACTATTTGGATCTGCGGCCAACCTTGATGCCAATGCTGCATTTTGCTGATTATTTAACCTTGACTGATCCGCACTTCTTTGACTGTACTGCATGTCATTACTACTGACCATCGGCGCGCGTGCTGTTCCTTGGCGAATACCCTGTTGGGACTGGGCATAGCCAGGCTGCATCTGGGAAACAGGTCCGTATGGTGCTGAATTCCTAGGTGCCGGCCCTGGGCGAGAATTTTGTTGTATTTTGGGAGGATCCGCCGTGTTAGGAGGTCCGTAAAATGGTGGTCCTGAATGCCAAACTTGTGGATTAGGTTTATTATGTACAGGAACGGTGTGTGACCGATAATCATTTGAATTAATGACGTCCATTGATACTGGGGCAGATCGTGTTTGAGTTGTAGCTTGACTACCCGCCATGGTTGTTGCAGAAGAAGCAGGATATAAATTGGGCAGCGAGTGAATAGAATGTTGAGATACACTGTTCGATTTTGATAGACCTATCATTGAAGAGTGTGGATTTGCATTGGCAACCGAATTTGAATGCTGTTGCCTTGCGACAGCGGTAGGATTTCTGTTATAATTTGGAGAGGCGATACCTCTTGGGTCATGTCTATATTGATGAATATTGGACTTCTGATAATCCGCTGCACCAGCAGAGTAAGATCTTGTAACCGGCTTTCCACCAGTATACCCTGATGTTTGCGATCTTGAACCAACACCACGATGCTGTTGGTCTCTGTTATTGCTAAAGCGTACCATTCCATTGCGATTGACGTCTGCATGACGGTAGCTACCCATCTGTTGCCTGCCGCCAGGCCCCAACTGAGATGCTGTCGAGCCAGCTGTCGCACCGGAACTAAAAGCTCGTGCTGTTCCTTTGTGATTGCTGATACCTTGTCCCCTTCCAGTGGCATTTCTATTTTGAATAACAGTGGACTGTGCCTGTGATCCTTGAGGCTTGTTCTGCAAAAAATTAAGAAAAATGTGTAAGAATAATTTTTACCATGGAAGTTAATTAATGGCAATTCAATTAGAGAGACAACCTCTTTGTGATCAATAAGTTATTTCATATTTGGCTCATCCTTTCTAACTTAATAAAAGCAAAGCATGCGCAGAAAGTGGAATCATGTCTTGTTAAAAAAACTTCAAATGAAAGCTGAAGCGTACATTTGCGTCGACAGCATCTGTGCTGTTTACTTTTGGGTCTCCAGCCTCGAGTGATGCTCCTTCCTTCTGACGAAAAAAGCTTCCTAGATCATGCCAAGATGAACGTCGTCTTCCTTCTCTGGTCAGCTGTCCATCTGCAGATTTACTGTCAGACCTGCGATAGTGAAAATATATAAAAATATATAATTTATAGTATAAAAATTGTTCACAACTAAAACAATTCAAGTTCCACATTTGGCCAAAATATGCAACGCTTGTAGATCAATACAAAATAGTATCATCAACAAATATTGAGAAAAGACGTTTAATTTCTTTAGATTTAGCAGAGATAATGGCAAACAATGACGAACACATCTTGCAAAGCATCCTTTGCTGCAGATACGACAGAGCTCATTACTAAAAATTATGAGTAGCCTTTTGGTGTCCTCTCACTAAGAGTAATTTGAACCTCCACTTTAACATATTCACATACCCTTTACGATGAATTGTGACACCTGATATCAAGAGCCAAACTTTACTATTTTCATTAGGGGGGTACTATTTTCATTAGGGGGAAAGACAAGGTAACAATTTACCAATTCTGCTTTATTGTAACAATGTGTTCCTTCACATGGCACCATCAAAAAAGATGGTGTATGAGAACATTCAGAGACGGGCACTGAAAGTAATAAATGGCAACAGAGACAGTGTACAGCTGGAGAAAGTCAGTAGTATACGAAACAAGATGTGTGCTCTTGAAGTTTTCAAAAGTTTGAATAGCGTATCGCCACACGCCTTTCGAAACTACTTCACTAGAGTAAAACACAGGCAGTGTACTCGTGCTAATGCAAAAAATATTGTTTTGCCCAAAGTACAATCAGAAGCAGGCAAGAAGGCCTTTTACTTTCAAGGAGCAAAGATTTTTAATAAACTAACAGACGAAATGAAGTGTGAAACTTCAATCCTAAGATTTAAGACTTTTTGTAAAAATTTTAACTTCGACTTTTAAGATTTCATTTTCATTTTATTTTAATATTGTATTTAATTTTTATTTCGGTAATCCATGTATATTTTAGACAGGTCCTTTATTGATAACAGCACGTTGTTGCTGACCAAAGTTAGCCTGTATAAATATGATATTATTATTATTATTATTAAAGCTTTGATGCCCGACGAAAGGGCGTGTCATGCTGGATGAAAGGGCTTTTCATGCCTACACATCATTTTTAGAGCACATCGCCTCGAGGGTTGAAATCATCGGGGATCCCGAGAGAGGGTCACTAAGTATGTTAGGCCTTCAGACTCAGGCTCTTTTTCAAAGTCAAAAAAATATGCCTCTAGTTTTTCTGGTGTTGGCTATAAACATTTGTTTCCGAAAAGCAAGCACTTATAGACCTGTCTTTTCTATAAAAGAAAAATAGTCTTCACTTTCTAAATCACCTAGCTATTAAGAGAGCAATTCAAAAAAGAAATTGAAGTAGGGTCTCAATTTATCACAGTGGAACAACAAAACACAGCTTTGAAATCTCGGAATTCAGAAACAGCTACGCAGATTACAATGATTCAACCAAAAAGGGCTCCAGTTTCCTTTTTTTAGTTTGTTTTCAACTTTCGGTTGCTCCGTAAGGAATTTAAATATTTTTAGACACCAAAGCACAACGTAAGTATCTCTGAATTTACCATAACAAAATCCCTCAAGCAAAGAAAAGTTTTTTTATTGGAAGTATCTCACAGGTACACCTATCATTAAAGCTCAATTTTCAGAAATCTTTTCAGAAATTTTCAGATATTGTTCAGAAATAGAAGAAACTCGAAAGTTTTTTGCAATTCATACCTTAATTATAATCCCTTGGTAAATCTTATATTATTTCCCGCTTGAACTGTCAGCTTAAAACTTTTTTTGCGAAAAGTGGGAGGGGGGCTACCCTGGGTACCAGACTCACTAAATAAAATAATAGAGAGTCTGGTCTAGTGCGCCCCATTCTCGTTCTGGTGAACTTACTTGAAAGAACTGAAGTCTATTTAACAGACTAGGCCTGTGAAACAAGACTGTCGGATAAATAACAAAGAAACTCAGTAGTCAGAGGAGTTTGGGAAATCTCAAAGCAAATGTGTTTTATATAGTTCTGTAAAGTCGACATTATTAATACAGCGGTAATAGACTTTTCTGCCTCAAGATTCCAATCAAATCAGATTTAAAACGCCATTTGGTAGCAAAAAACATATGCGAAGCATGAAATTAAAGTTAGCACAATGCAGTTATTTAATGTTAATCATTATTAAATTTCGTATACAACTTAAAATAAGTATTTTGTAATTTTCCTCATAAATTTTGTGTATATCAAAGTCTACTTCCTCACTGTGAAGGCAGCGCGGTTGGACACCGCGGCGGTTAGAATCATCACGTTGGAAGTTTACCACAGCAAATATGGCCAATACGACAAGCGAAGCCCCGTATGCCGGGGGAAATATTAGCCATAACTGATTTACTTGTGTTTGTTGTTGTTTGTTCTCGGCGCCTTGCGGTGTTTCTTATTTACTGCTTTTCACTACAAGGCCTAATTTCTTTCCAAGGAGAGGCACAGCCTTAAATATCAGAGACTTTCCAAAGCCAGTTGGCAATATGGCGAAGGTGTCTCTTCTCTCTACAAACAAGGCTTTCAATGCTGTTCTGTGTTAAGTTCCACAACATGCGGAAAATATTCTTTGAGTACAGTTATAACAGCATCTTCAAACTAAATCGTTACAGTCGCTAGCATTTATTTATGTTCTGTTCTGTTCAATGTTTTACACCAGAGCTAAGTTTATTGTTCCGCTGTGACCTTTGAACGTACAGAAATCTGTACACTCGCTCCTGATTGGTTAATATCAGCACACCAGAACGAGAATGGGGCGCACTAGACCAGACTCTCTATTATTTTATATAGTGAGTCTGGTACCCAGGATAGAGGGGGGCATGCCCTGTGTTCATTTCTTTCTTGCATCAAACACATTTTACTTTCCGTCTATGATTTCGCTGTCGATGAATACTTCAGACTCTACTTCCGCACCTCGAGGCGAAGATAAACATGTACATGTCGAACTCGGAACGAAAGACAGAAATATATATATGTTGCTGTTGCTTGCCTCGTTTCTGTTTTGTTTTCCCAACTGGGCGGAGAGTGAAAAAGGACCATAAAGTAAAAAACCAAGCTAGGGCAAAAAGTAGTAGTAAAAGTGCGACCTAAAGAAAATTTCTTGATTTGCCTGACCGATATACTGGCAGCCATAAATGTGCCCGACACAATCTGCTTTTTTAAAGATTGGGGTGGGGGGGTGGGGGATGCAACACTCCTATACCCCCAGCAGTTTCGCCCATGCCTGATATAAATGTTTTGTACAGGCCATTCTTCACTAAATGTTTCCAGAACAAAGGTTAGTTTTTTGTTTATGTAAGTAAAATAGATACACTGGTGATTGCAAAGGTAATTTCAAATGAAATTGCATTAGTTTGATTTAAAATATCCACTATCTTTTAAAGTGTACAGAAGAAACTGGCTTGCGCATTAAGGGTGGCATGATCGTTGCAGATAATACTGGTGGGCTGTGTTTAGAAAGCTGAATACGTATAATCAGTGTGAAAATTACAGACAGCGTGCAAGGCTTCTATTGACTTGGCGTGTTTATATTATTAATTTTTCGAAACAAAAAGAGCAGGTTTATTACAGGAAGGGTGCGTTCATGAAAAAACTTTGGTTTTTATCAATAATTACCTAAGCAAATTCAGTTCCTATGAAAAACAACAACTAGAAAAATATGTCAAACAGCTAGCGTAAATAGAAGCACTTTGGCTGTGAAATGAATCAGTAAGCAGAAATATTATAGAAAATCATGTAATTGATTAGGTGCAAGGCAAATAATGTGTCAGCCACCAGCAAAACGCACAAGAACATTTCTGCTAACACACTAAAATCAACTTTGAAAAGCACACTATGCCAGATCTTTGCTAAATATGCTGTTCTGGTGATAATGGTTTTAAGGATTTTTACGAATTTAATTACAAAATGCTCGTTCTTTGTTGCTTGAAACGCCTGAGAAGTACAAAAGATGACCAACCATATTTGTTTCTTGTGGCCATGGAAAGAGAACGCTATTTAGGCCAAACAACGACAATACGTAGTTTGTTTTCAAATGTATTTCGCACTTTAAAGTTACAAAAATACACAAAAGTACAGGTTAACAGAGTAGAAAAAAATAAAGATATTGATAAAATATAGATAAAAAGTAAAGTAGAAAAAAAACATTCACAGCAAGTGATATTTTAAGCCTTATGCTACACATTTTATTGAAAAGCAAACTCTGTGGAAAGTTATTGAGATATAATTTGCTCAACGCTATATAAATAACGAAGAACCAGTGACGAAACGATTTCCGGATTCTAAAATAGGCTGAGTGAATGAAGGATTGATACCATTTCATGTTGGTAGAATTTGGTCAGATAGTATGGTATGCGCACCCACAATTTCTCATTTAACAAAAAGCATGAAATAATTTTTTTCAAATTCCAAACAAACATGGCCAAAACGAAAAAAGATTTTGGAAATGCAAAATTTGAGGCTGCACGGACGTTTGGGGGTATTTTGTGTTGTCTTGAAATATAGCCAAAACCATTGCCTGTTTAAGTTTCATAAAATTTAAGGTGAAAAAAATTACAACGATTGCCGTGTTGTCATCAGCTAAAAATGGTTTAAACTTATATCTAGAATTAAAGTGCGGTATATTAAAGTACCATTATCAAATGCAGTACCGTAAATTGTGCTGTTTTGATTTTCGATCTTAAACAGTTTATAAGGTTTCAGGATGTTTACGGAAAAATCCTCGATCTAAACTCGAACTAAATTAGTCCGGTATTCAGCAAGCTATGATGTAGGTGAAAGCAGTCACAGCAATAAACGACAACCACAGCTAGATTTAAATAACTGTTTGTAGCTTCAGTCATTGCTCTGGTAAAATGAATGTGGCAGTATGGCATCATTAACTCACCAATACACGATGCAATGATGTAAGTGATAAATAGCATCTCCCTTTAAGCATGTTGTACGCTGAAAACATGGCAGCTGCTGAATTAAACATTTGCGATCAAAGATCGAATACTTACGAAAATGTTGTCATTTCATTGATACTTGAACCAATATCGTTGAAAAATTCTTTAAACTTAGCAAACGAAACCATTTTTGATAGATTCGAATTAAAACAAACCCAAGACTCGTTCGTAGATGAAATTGGTCTTTGAAAAAACACTTGCCTGAACCGTTCTAAGTCTCATCATTGTGTTGGCTAGGTATGAAAAATTAATGACCAGAGGAGAGCAGCTTGGCCGCGGCTGTTTCTTTTAAAACGCATGGCTTGGTATAAATGAAATTCTAAACAATGTACTGTCATGTCCATGAATGCCTAAAGTCAGCACATCGCTTTTCTTCATAAATTATTCACAATATCGCCGATGTTTATAGTTACCTATCATAGAAATTGCAAGTCATTCTCTCTTTTGTTCGCTTATATTTACAAAAATTTTAGGTCATGAAGTGTCCATCAAAGACTGTTATTAAAGCATATCCTATTAGCTCACCATAAAGGATAAATGTGAAATTTAAAACAAATCAGGCTGATAATTCATATCAAAGATCCTCACGGAACAAAAAATCTACTTGTAATTTCTTTCGAACCGTATTAAAACGTGACCCTCGAAACAGACGTCAACATATTTTCACATGTGAGGATAATGAGTTGCTCGTAAGAAAGTTGAGCTGAAACAACGCAAGAAATTGGACCAGAGCAAATTTATGCTTTCTGCTGTCGGTTACTTCTTCAAACTGTTTTTTTGACATGAAAGCCTTTAAGAAATATTTCTGCTTTTGTCTTTATTTGACGAATTTTCAAGTTGAATAGCTAAATCCTATAAAATTGGTGAAAGGATTTCACAGGCGATATTTGCATCCCTCTGCTCTCAATAAATCACTTCGAAAAATAGTATCGGCCTTCTGTTTACCTAGTAAGCATTTTGCTTAGATTGAGTTTTCTTGTGGCCCTCAACTCATTAATAATTAATTTAGCTATCTAAAACCTCCATTCACATAAATTATGCAGCTAACGGAATTTGAGCCTTGTCTTGATGGCAGGTACTTCCATCTATGTTCTTGGAAACACATTATTTGCGCCTGGAGTACCTCCTTTATCTCTGCAGCTGTCTTTAAAATCCGGTTATTATATTATCTTTGAGGCAAATTTTTATAGCTTATTCGAATTACTATTTTTATATCAAAAGAAAACAGAGTCTTGTTTCTTTGAAAATGAGAAAAGACGGCAGCATTTTAATCTCTAACCTGAAGATATACCTAAAAACGAAGACAATTTGACTAAATTAAAACATTTCTTGAAGCGTACACAAATCTTTGAAAGCAAAAAAAATCCCTTAAAGTTAGCTGTTTTTTCTGTTTCTAAAAGTTTAATCGTAAAGAAAATGGCGATAGTCAAAGCCACCCCTCTTTCTTCAATAGTGGAAAACGTAAATGAACGTACTTTTACAGAATTCATTACGCCAAACTAGGCCTCCAATTTCAGTTTTCTTGCGAATCATTTTTAAAAAAATCAGATTTAACCTAATCCTCAGTTATTGTCGATATCTTTTAGCAATTTTACCAGTAAGCGTTATTTTATCAATGTTTTATTTTTCCTGTCGAAATCCGACTTTCGTGCATTTAGATCTACTCAATAATGTTTTTTTTGTGAATTTATCTAAAAAAGGTTAACGTACAGTAACGATAGGTGCTCAATGGCTTTGCATATTCTTGCAAACAAAGTCTACAAATTTTTATGCATGTATCTATAAGCTATGCATTGGAGAAAAAACAATTTGGAGAAGGAGAATATTTACGCGTATCAGTATGGAAAGGTGTCGCCGCATATAGTTTAGAAAATTTTTAAAAGGCAGGACTGCGAAGAAGGTTCTCTGAGCGTAAAAAATTTGTCAAGAACGATACCTTTTAAGTTAGATGAAAATATCTATATGACGATTTTGCAAAGATGTTGAAAACCAGCTGTCCAGTTTCAGCAGGTACTAAAATGACGTCACTCGAAAATTAGCGCAAAGTTTTTTACGATAAATGTAACACCACAAATTTTTATATCATCTGCGCATTAAAAATTCACAGCTAATCGTAATAGATTGCATTCGTAGATGTCAAGCTCAACTAGAAAAATTAATGCAGTATACTTTTTTAGGCAGCAGGATTTGTAGAAAGTGACAATGAACAGAAAAAAAGCGAGCAGACGTGTCGCTCTGCAGTTAAAGCGCACGACTCGGATCAAGGGCTGACGAGTTCGAGGCTTCTGTCCACCTGAGATATCGATGTGTTCAAGTGGAAGCATAAGACTTTCAAATGCTACAGTGCTTCGCTGGAAGTTCTCTATAGACTTATTCCTAAGCAATAGACTAACGTTTCGAAATCACAAAATTCGGAAAATGATGCATAGAGAAGATGCGATGGCCGATGATCTATCCGATATCAAAATCGCTTTTTTTACTAGTTGCTTTTTATATGCAAGGCCGAGAAAGCTGTTCTTTTTGGGGAAGAGTTTTGTTTCTAATGGTGGAAGGAACATGCTATTGTATCCTCCAGTTTTTGGGTAAGGCGTCCTACGTGACCAGAATGACACTGGCACGTAAACTCATAAATAACGAAACGTTTTAAGAACACTATCCTTTTGAATGGATGGAAGAGCCATTTTTTACTGTAAAAAATTACGCAGATTGACAGCAAAGAAACAATTTGTAATGGCCTGTTTAATTTGACTTTCAAATCGCAAGGAACTGTTACCGATCCAAGGTAGTTTCAGATAACCAGGCACTTTTGGGGACCAAAATTTATTTCGGCCGATAAACTTGTGATTTTTTTCTTCATTTTAATCGAAATGACATCCTCTGGATAGCCGTTCTCCAGAAAAATCTTTTTTGGAAAAATTCCGAGTCGAGTTTAGATTGGGGACAAATCACCAGTGTCGAGTTCGGCTTTGGCTAGCAATTTGCCTTTATTGCTTAAGAGCTTCAAGAATACTTCATCATTTCTATCGGTTGAAATATCACAAGATCCAGCCTTTATCGATTCTACTAGCCTTTATCGATATCACAATAAAGAAAAGATCCCACAAACTGGATGTTACTATGAATTGCTAATGTGAATTGACGTCATGATAAATTTGCTTTATTAATGCAAGATTGCAAAAAAATCCTATTTTAGACAACATAAAAAGTTTGTAATTCGGCACAAAATAGCGGAAACACACTGGAGAACCTTCCGTCCAACACTTGTCTTGAAATTCTGCGGTACCACAAACTTATCTAACATAGAAGAATGGTTTACCTTTTAAAAGAGAATGTTCTGGATCGTTGCAAATCTTCTTGGGGTCTTGATCTTAGTTCAATTCTTTCCTCGTCTTTTGAATTTCTTTTTGAGCCCTTTCTTCTAAACGACGTTATTATTCTTTTGAAAACTGACGGCGTCCCCTAAACAAGACAAATAAAAGCAACTGTAAGTTTGATTCCCAATAAGCATTTCCTTTGCATACAAAGATTTTTTTGCACTAACAAGTATCTGAAGATATTGGAAACAAAGAAGTAAGTGTTTAATAAGGGTCTCTCGGAAGTTCTTACGATTGTTCTTGCTTGCATAAAATCGAAAAATAATCTAATAGATGTTTTTACCTGTGGTTCGTCTTTTTGCGAAACAACCTCCTGTAAAATAAGGAAATAAAAGACTTATATCAAACATTAGTTACTTTTATCAAACAATAGAAGGAGCATTGGTGATTTGAAGGATTGGAGACATTAGAAGGAACAACTGAAATGCCTCTTAAATAAGACTGTATTGATATTTTATAGAAACCAATTTGAGCAAAATATCCCCTAGTTGGTCATATAAGAAGCATATTTAATAGTTTAGATGATTGAATTTGAAAAAATTAGTAAATATATGAAGATCCCTTCAAGAACTTCCACAAAAATCAAAAATTCTGTTTTTTTGCAGCTTTAATTTTAGTAAGTTGTAGCTACATGCTTTTTTAGGTATTTTCGATTCCATCTGCTGAATATCAAACACTAAACAGCTTTTTCATATCTAAAGACCACACTAAAGACGAGACGGTGTCTCCAAATGGAGACTATACAAAAAAAGGAGAATGAAAGACTTGAAGCGAAGGACAACTTGATCCTACATGTTGGAAGATTTCCATATAAAATAGAAACCAACAAAGAGCGTCTCACAGCGACATGAAAAAAGAAAGTTATATAATCCTGGATGTAAACAATTACCTCTTTGGCTTTGGTTGCCCTGTAATTGGTCACAAGTAGTTTGACGCAATAAATTTTTCCGACTGTCATTTGCTGGCTAGATGCGGCTAACGATAGAAAAACTTCATTATTTTTTCTGAAAAGAAGTTTTACATTGTCAGAAAGGATGTTTATTTGAATTTATAAATCATTTTAGACCATGCGGAAAAGGCAAAAGCTTCACCCATCGGATACTTTAAAACTGTACGCTTGGTAATTTTCCGAGTGCTAATTCTATATGTTCGGTACCTACAAAGACAATTTTCTGGATTATATAACCTCGTCTATTGCATGTTTTGCGTACTTATAGTAAGAGCCAGATTACTTGGGTAGCCTCTATAATCAATCAATTGTTAAAAATCTGCATTCTTCTATCTATTTAGGTAATAATAAGAATCTAGAGAATGATATCTATATGATGAATCGGCATGGCCATGCTGCAAAATTTTCAATTAAAAAAAATTGAAAATTGATTTACTGGAAACCAAAATTTAATCAAAACAAACCTGTCTGTTTTGGCAAAATTTTCTCTATGTTTTTCTCTGGCATGTTGGGCCAAATTAGCTGTATCGATCTTCTAAGCTGTTGGTCATTTTTGAACATGTTTCCTTTCATTTTGATATCCAGACTCGTTCTTATCAATGCAAATAAAGTTGCATGGAATGTCACCGTTTGATCACCTCCAACAGGCATGTTCATCCTGATCAATCGCTGAAAAAATGAATTTTAAAATTTTGTTGTATTTTGAATTTATGGATCAACAATGCAAAAATTAAGAAAATTATGGATCTCCGAAAGATTATTCTGAAGTTTATACTGCTTCGAGAAAGGTATCATTCTTACATCCTGAATTTTATCATGGAATAACACCTGGAAGTCACTGAATAATCTGAGAATATTGCAAAAACACTGTTGACCAGCCACATACCTTGTACCCCAGTGACTTAGGGCATTTCTTTCCAAATCCAACGGGAGGTGCCATGTGACACATAAAGGTGTAAAGCATTTGATGATGGAGTCTTTCACTACAAGATTGAGAGACACGCCTTTAAAATGTGGAAAACAATCAATTCCTTAGCAGGTCCACAGAACAAACTAGGTCCAGAAAATACATTTGCAACAGATTTTATTCAATCATCATCCTTAACGAATGATTTGAAATAAGAATGGAGATGTTAATGTCTTTGCATAGCATCATATGAAAACCAAGATTAGTTGTATCAAATGCGAATACTATCAAAGATATGCCAGTGATTATACTTCTCTCAAATCTTTTATGTATTTAATCACTCATATCGAAGACGCAAGAATCTACCAAATGTAGCATTTTCCAAACAGTTTTGACGCATAATTAAGAATTATAACAAAGCAAGGAAAACGAAAGTTTATCTATTTTTGTTTTGTTTTGTCTATATAGAATCCAAACTACTTCTCTGCTTTTACGATACAGCTATACTAGGGGATAAGAGTGAAATTTATACCTTGCAGTAGGGTCGTATTCAGACCATACGCGAACAAATTCATCGAGATGATGAGGCCCGAGGATAGATGAGTCTCTCGTTAAATATTCAAAGTTGTCCATAATGACAGCGACAAAAAGATTCAGCATCTAGAATAAGAAATATGTCGAAAATTAAGAAAAAAGTATTCCACTGCCTGATAGTAATTGAACGCTTTGAAAGTAACAAGAAATTTAATATGTATATTTCAAAAGAATTAAGCAAAATATGAAATAACTGGTACCTGATGTTATGAATAAAGCAAAATGACTCCTAAAGTCTAGAATCTATGCACCTTGAATTTTGCTTTGATAAAGATTAGAATGAAGATTAGAATAAATGACAATCCATCTATATCCGTATGTTATTTCACGCATGAACATAATACTGTATTGTCGTTTTTCAAATGCGTTGTATTACGGAAACAAGACACAAGCCGCATATTTTGGGTTATAGAACAAGTCTTACCAGAAACATGCAAAAGAATATGAATGTGGTGAAGTAGAATATTGCCATGAACGTGCTTCCACAAGTCGTATTGCTGCCAGAAGTCACCTCACAAGGAGCTTCATCGTAGCATGCACGCATTATACTGTTCCAGCCTTCACCTGTAGCAGACCTTTAAAAAAATTCGTATTAGAGTTCTTGTTTAGTCAAATGCGGGGTTTCGTGTAACTGAAAGCGTTGATATCATTATGAATTCACCAGAAAAGAAGCACATCTAATACAAAAACTGTGTTTACCTGAACAGTACTTGCAAAGCTTGAATGATAGTGCGAAAGTTGTTATATTCAGTTATGACATCACCATATTTTATCTTTGAAAAAACCTGAAAGAAAAAATGCTATAGGCATTGAAAAAGAAAACATATTTCTAAATCTTAATGATGTACGATTGTGATGTGATGTTCGGCTATCGGCCAAAATTTACTCAACAAATACACAAAACATGCAGGTGAAAATACAGTTTCTAAATCATTAGACAAGCAAGGGCGTCCTTTCGTTAGGGTGTTTCAAATCTTCCTTTCGCGTTATTTTTGATCGACATATGGATATATGTTTCTGTTTACTTTTAGTTATTACCTGAAGTTAAAACCGCAAGAAATGTCCAATCGTTTAAAGTTCACAAAATTGTCCTGCTTTCCGAGCTTTGTTCAAATCTGTTTACTCATACAGGTAGATTTAGGTCACAAATGAGATATTTGAAGTTCTTGTTTAGCATTAGTATTTAAACATTAACAGTACATAAACTGATCAAAAAAAGATCGCAACTTTATGTTGACTGCATAAAATATGTTCTTTTCTGTCAGCATTACTTTTAAAGGAATTATGGGAAAAGGCGTTTTAAACTTAGAAAACTAATATGGAAAAGGAATAAGATCCTAATATTTATATGCAGAGATACTGAATGCTATTTACCTGCATGCCAATTACAGCATACATGTAGAAAAGTAATAATATCAAAGCTGTGACGTATGGTAAAGCCTGAAAGATAAAAATTTATCATCAATAGATAGAGATTTTGAAGCTTTTTTCGTAACTAAGCTGCTTCACAAACATATTTCTATGCAATTGTTGACTTCTGTTAATTGTTGGCTTCTATTATGCAATTGATGCATCAAACAATGGTCATGCTAGTTTATTCGTTGAGATTTGGTAAACAGTTTCTCAACACCAGTAGATTTTAACATAATTTGATAATGTTACAAGCTGCACCTGAATAACAACATCTGCTTGTCCTTTGGTCATTTTCCAACTAAGTTAATCTGGTAATCGGACGAGAAATGTTCAGCATGCTAAATTTTTGTCTTTCTGTTTCAAATTTCCGCGTCTTGTAACGAGATAAAATTCCTTACATTTTGATCAGTGGATCAAACCAACCTTTCTGTCATAAATTAGGCTAATATTTAATTATTAATAACTAAAATGCTAGGGTTAGAGAGCAGGCATTTTAAATCCAACACTTATCAGCAAATAAAGTTTACTTGTACAATAAAGAAATCAAAATGTTTTTTAACCTTAAAGGATTGGAGGAATGTCCACAGCATGAGACGGATCGATGTGCCAGATCGAAGAAGTTTTATGATTCTGGCTGCACGACATAATCGAAACATACTTGGGTCTAAAAAGCTTCTTGGATTTACCTAAAAGGAAACACCAAGGAAATGATTTGGCAATCATAGAAGGAATGAAGAAAGATAGTAATGAGGGGATTGAAAGAAGGGAGGGGTGTGGGTGACATGGAAGCAAGCAGGCACACAAGAATATCCTTTAAACTATCATAAGCTCCTAAAACAGCCTCAAAACTGAATATACAACTATTAAACAGAATATACAACTGGGATACTCACGTAATTAAGAATTATATCCAGCACACTTCCCAGCACTACTAAAAAGTCGAAAAGATTCCACGGGTCTTTGAAATAATTCTGCAATTTAAGACAAATTCCTAAGTTGTTTATCTTCTCCAAATTTTATTTTCATTTTATAGTTGGTAAGTGTTAAATCTTTTACCACACTTATAAATGAAGTTTAACGTCAAAATATTTTAAATATCATTAGTGACAAAAAATTGAACTTTTGAACTCATTTGAGTCACTTCAAAAGTGGATGTGAAATGTTTCAATGAAATAAATCGTATTGATGGATTTACTGCTGTTATGAAAAAACGTGTCATTAGAAACATGTGACACGATGTGTATAGTTTCTGAAAATCCTATCTTTGCATGTTGATATATCAGAGCACCAAGGTTTTTTTTAGCAGCAGTAACTTCACAAAAGAGAATCAAGCTGTCCCCTGGCCAAGTTGCCGCAATGTGCGCGAATAAACGTTTGGTGCATTGGAGACTGTTTACGCGATGTTTTATCATGAAATGAGAAATTTCAAAAATTTGCAGTTAATGCTCATTGTCATCAAATAGGATGAATGTAAAAATGGCAATATCAAGATAAGCTTATGAACTCCATTAAAGACAAACTGTATTTACCACACGATATGCTATAATCTTCAACGCCGCCTCCAGGCAAAATAAGACAGTGAATGAGATATTGAAACCAGTCAGCATATTTTTATATGTAGTAGGTGCTTCATCATACTGAAATTAATATATGTTCCACATGAACTTCTACTTCCCGATAGTTTTAAAGACCTTGTATGGCCATAAATATGAAAAGTTTGCAAAAAAATACAATAAAACTGAAGCAAAGATTCTTCAATTGAATTCATGCTGTCATTTTTCAGTAAGCTATTATTGATCTTAGAGTTTAAGCTATTGATAAGCTTCAATTGATAATGAAACAATATTGATCTACAGCTGAAGTAAATTTTGAAAGGTTTTACTCAGATGTATACAAAGCAGGTCATTTTACAAAACAGTCAAGGTTGGATATTTGTATAAACACACAACTTTAAAAGTTAAACATAATGAAATAAATGCTGATGGATAAAGTAGATTACGATGAAGACATCAATCTTCTTATTCAAGCTGTAGTTCAAGTATACAAAAATTCTGCTCTATAAGCCAAAACATGCACAGCTCTGCCTATAAGGCACTAAGCAAAATATAAAAGGCGGGTATACATTTATTATCAGTAAATTAAGTAAAATGATATTTTACCCGCATCATCAGTTGTATTGTGTTCAGCACGATGAAAAGCATAATGCAGTATTCGAATGGCCTCGAGTCAACGACGTACCATACACGGTACGAAAATGAATGCTTGTCTTTTGGCATGTATCGATGTTTTGCCTTCGCTGTTAACGCAAAATGAATGCAGTCTCTCTGCAAAGAAGAAAAATTGGGTTCAAAACCTAAAACGATTTAGTTTAGTTTTACACTAGATTTATTAAAGCTTTTTTTGCAACATATTACAGCCTCATCGTTGTTCTATTTTGCTCCTGCCTATTATCTATTTCATGTCACCCATATAAATATTCACGGAGTCCGACGGACAGCATGTCCTGCGAATCCTCTTTTTGATGTAAGCTACTTAATTTTTTTTAAATGCACAAAATGAAATATATATATATATACCAAATGCTAAAACAAGCTGGAAACATACGATAAAGGTTAAGATTTCGCTTTTTAAAAACTCTACTTTATTGTTGCAGTCAAAGTTGGTCTTACCTGATTTCTATCAAGACCGCCCTCTGTTAACTCTCTTTCCCCTTGCCGTTGAAATGTAAGTATGATTAAAGCAACGTAAATGTTGATAATCATGAACGTAAATACGATCACAAATACAATAAAGTATATGCACAGCTGCGGGTTACTGTTTGTTATAGGACCCTGGTCAATTTTTGTTGCATCAATCGTCCTATGCATAGCCCTGAAAATTCAAAGTAACAAAAATTTAGATTTCATGCCTTAAGATTAAGCAGTGAATGTAAAATAAATTTGCCAAGAATAAATTAAAAAAGACTCACTGATCTAATGGAGCAAGTATATATGAATATATAGATATGGAATTGCAGAAAAGGAATTCTTAAAGTTATGGAAAGAGCTTTCTGTCAGCGTAGTTAGATGAAAGTTAGTTTATCTGGTTTTTTCAAAGTTTTGATAAAAAAATATTTCGGTGGTAAAATCAAGCATATTTCGATAAAATTACCCTCAAATCTACTTGAGTAAATATTGATAAAGGCATGTTGAATATCTTAGATTTACATAGTGTATTAGCAAGTATTCTTTTAAACCTAAAAGTAATTCTTAAAATGAGCTAAAAATCTAGCTTTTATGTTTTGAAATACTTTCCACATGTATAAATGCGTTATTATGAATATCTGTTGAAAGCTGCACTATCTGCACATGCAAATACAGCGATTAAAAACCACTTTTTCAGTCTTGCCAAACCAAATGAAATCAATAAAATGATTTATTAAGGCCATATAATATCTGATGCTGTAACATCTATAATATAGGCTCGAGCATGTATTTGCAATGGCTAAACTGGAAAATGGCGAAATTTGGAGCTAAGCAAATTTGCTTTTTAACAATTCAAAAACAGGTTAAGAATTACCCAGGCCAGCCTTCTCCAGTTGACGAGGCATAAAGGGTTATCATGGCATGAAAAACATTGTCAAAATGAAAGTCGTAATGCTTCCATTCTCTTTTCTTTACCTGGAATGAAAAATATTCTTACTGGTAAGCTGTTCTAATATTGCTGATATTTTATCATCTTGAAAGGCTCGAGTACATCTCTATTCATTCTCCATTGATGACCAAATACTCTTTTTTAAAAAAAAGGTCTTCGTAAAGTGAAATTTATTATAATCAGCAGCTATTTTAAAATAATCTGAAGTAGAGTGATGTATGTTGGTATTAGAAAAAGGCATATTAAGAAAAAAAATGATAAATCAAAACTGAATTTTAACCCTCATTGTCTTGTTACAGTTGTTCTTGATTGATACAAAGCAGTCCAATTTTTGAAACTCAAAGCAATAACAACTAGACAATAGAAATATTATTTCGCTTACTGTTGGTTTGTTATCAACAACACTCTCCTTGGATGGAAACCAGTAAAAGTCGCCTCTGAAATAGAGCAAAATGAAAACATATAGATTACTGCTTATTAAACATTCCAAAAAATGACATAAATGCATCGAACTTAAGATGTAAGATTACCTAAAAAAGTACAAACATTGCAATATAGTACCAAAATTGTAATACCGGGTATATATAGAAAAATAAAGAGCTAGCTTAGAATAACCACTATCAGAGTAATTTGTGAAAATATTATTTATTTTAGGATTATGACGCCACAGAGATAGAACAGTTACTCTATCTAAAATTAAATGCCCGAAATGTTGGTATATAGCATCTTCAGCAAAAATAACATAAACCTTTTATTGTCGTAATTCTATCATATTTACTCTACCATGGCAAAAGCTAATTACAAAACAGTTTGTGCATTATCAACAGATTGCTAAAAATTTATCAAAACATTGAGAATAAAATTTTTAAAAAATGGTTTGTTTTTCTGTCAATTACTGAAACTTGCTTATGTCAGAATTCAGATAAATGAACAAGTTTTTAAGTTCAAAAAAATTTCTCACTTGCAGTCTTCTTTGGTCATTTTTGAAGTATCAGTGCAGTGGAAGAATTTTCCCTAAAAATACAGGAATAAAATAAGACATACAAAAGGCAGTGTTACAAAAAATCAGCTTGCAAATCAGATTGAAAGCTACTACAAATCTTTAACTCATATTCAAACTATTCAAAGCCCCAAAGTCTATGCTGACGGTCTTGAATGTAATGATTTCAATTGTAAAGGCTCGTGCAAACGATTGGGCTAAAAGAATCACGGCTAAGGATTAGCACAGCCTGTTTCGACAAGCATGAATGTTGGATCTGTAAAAATTGGTATTGTTTTAACCCTTCACTTCAACAAGGTATAGGAATTTCACGAAAAAAATTGTTTTTTGTTCTAAAAACAACCTTGGTTATATCTTGACAATTTGTTTTTGTATGTAACAAAAATCATGCAAAATCTTTGTACAAATGTAGATTGTCCGAAATGGTAGAAAAGTAAAACTTATTTGCAATGCTGGTTTTATAAACTGGTTTTGATTTCATATTTAAGGCTGATACTGTCATCTTTTTAAAAGGTGATGAAGAGCGTTACCTTGAATAGCTGCACACCAATGCACGCAAATATGAAGAGGAAGAACATAGTTATAATCAGCACAAATGCCACATTCTTCAACGAGAATATCATGCACTGAAAAACGGCCTAAAACAAAGTAGCAATTACTCTTAAAGCGCAGTTATACAGTGAGAATTCTTGAAATGGGAAAAAACCTTTCAATAAAATCTACACTTGTTATTCCTTTTTATGCATACAGAAATATTCAAAACTTGATTGTCTGAACAAACAAAACAACAAGTTATTTGATGAATTAAACTGTGATTGAAAGTTGGTTTGCCTTTAACTTTAAGGCCCTGTTCACACCGATACCGGATTCATTTCATGTCGGATTCACTCCTGTCACACGATGACGCTACGCTTTCACTGCTCCGAAATTTCCGTCTTGAAGCAGTTGCATAGCGTGGGTCATGGCCGCAGAGAGAATTTATGGGCCCCGGGTCAGGACAAATGTTAAATAGTAAAGCATGCATAAGGCAGACGCTTCTAGGAGGTATAGGAAATGCTCTCCAGAAATGTTTGAAAATTATGGTTGCTTAAACTGTTCGGGTGGCTATTTTGGTTGCTAAAATTGACATGTGGGCTAAACTGCGATGGTGTCATTGGCGTAGAAAAAAGGGGTCAGAGGGGGCAAAACCCCTTTGAAGAGCTAAACTGTTTTTTTTTCGGAAAACCTCTGGTCTTGTCAAAAATTCAACACGGTTGTCTATGTTTATCTAATTGCTATGTTTTGATGGAAAAAATTTGAAGCTTAATAAACACTAGAATAATTAATATATCAAAAGATCTTTTTTCAGTTCCGATGTCGTTATGTCATTTTAAAATTTATGAAAAACTAAAGAAGCTGATTAGATTTTTATCGGAAAATCCATCTTTCTCACCTCTCCTGTGAATTAGAAAGAAATAGAAAATAACAGGTACAAGATGATACGTTTCAATAACTGAAAATAATAAACAAGTGGGTTAGGCACAAGATGTAGGGATATTTAACCCTATCCAGGCCGGGCTTTTTGAGCTGCTAAATACCTTATTCAGTCCCCCCCACTCTAAAATCGTTTTTACTAAGTACACGTATGTTGCCAAAAATCACGACAGCTATAGCAGAGGTCATAAATCATTTTTTAAAAAGGAAGTCCAAAAAAAGATATGACGTCATAATTATTGAGACAATGTACACAAAAATGCAAAAACATCTATTTTTTAAATTTGAATAATTTTCAAAGATTGATTCCTGAAACCAAGTTATGTTTATCGAGGAACTGCTAAAAGGTCACACTTTTTTTAAGTTGGTAAATTTAATTTTGGCAAACTCAACATGGCGGGCTGACGGACTTAAGATCTCGTTTTTAACACAAGCAGCACAAATAGAGCATTTCTCGATATTCAACGATATACTTTACATATCTTAAATCCCAGGCCAGATGTGCACAGCGTAATGAAAAAAGTTTATCGATTTTTCTGTTCAAAATTCTATGCAGAAACCCTATTAGCTAATTGTCGGTTATATGACGTCAAAGTAAAAGTCACGTGACACATAACTGAAAATTTTGTACATAGAAAAATAAAAAAGACCATAGAAACATAAGAAGTAACAAGGATTTCATAAAAGGATTATGAGATGAACCTGAATTCGGTGCATCAAAAGATTCCTTAAAGTTTGACTCTGACCACTGTGGAAAAAATCAGCCCATTCCCCCAAATTTAGTATAATTTTAATCTTGTACACAAACTCACACTTCATATAGATAGAAGCTAAGCTTTGTGCTAGTCGAGTCTATAAATATGGAGCACTGCTCGATTAAGTAAGTAGGGGGAGGGGGCTTAATGATCCCCTCAGTCCGGATAGGGTTAATGAAAGAGATATAATTTATCACAAGTACATATCAAAAGTATTAAACTTTTGGCAACTGTTAATTCTGCTTCTTCCCAATCGCGCTGCCTCATTCGATCTCGCACTTCTTAAACACGATCGAAATACAATGTACGCGTCAAATATCATACCATACCTGATCCACTGTTTGATATAATTTGAACATATCTGATATCTTAGCACCATAATGCATGAAAATGAAATTTTCTTTCGGTTGAAATCGTTAACGTTAAATAAGAAAAAGGTTAAATTCGTTAACTAAATTGGACTACAACCGTCAGACTGTTGCAAATAGATGCGAATGCCACAGTGTAAATCTGTATGACATATTGCCCTGTATGTTGCCCTGCAATCACATTTTTTGGTAACATTCAGAAGCTTTTGAACTTCTTTAGCTCAAGCCCATAAAGATGAGAAATTCTTAACAAAATTATTTTCTTAAGCTAAATAACTCAAGCATTCAACACTTCATAGACTTTTGTCATTACTGTCTCTAATACAGGTTATGCTAATGGAGAGGCTGGATAATTACTCAGAAATGTTTTTTCAATTGAGTTATTATTTATGGGCCTCTAAAGCTAAGGGCTTACGGGCCAGTGACCCCCCTGTTTCCCCCTCTCCTCAGGACTGCGTGGGATTTTATTCGTTGTTTTGCCCTTATTCTGAACAAATGCATTCGTTGACGTGACATATCTGATACACTGTTTTCTTCTGAAGAAGAAGAATTTCGAATAAGTTTTTTATCTTCTTATTATCGAATAAATCTTCCATTAATCTTGTGAAACTCATTATCATCGCAAGGAGCATATTTATTCTTTCACTGAGATCCACTGTCATTTTGCGTCTTGAAAAGAGTGCCAAACTGCTTTTGAAAACCCCGAAAGTGAAGTTGCTTTTTTGAACAAACAGAGATTCCGGAGCGAAACCATATTAATGCGTTAACACGAGCTCAAAAGTGATCTGATAAATTTCTCGGCTGACGTAAAATTTGGTCCTCAAAAGTGCCCGGTCTATCTAAAACTACCCTGGATCGGTAACAGCTCCCTACGTTTTGAAAGCCAAATAAAACAGGCCATTACAAATTGTTTCTTTGCGGTCAACGCACGTGTTGTTTATAGTACGTACGTTATAAAAAGGCCCTTCAGTCCATTCAAAAGGACTGCGTTCCTGCAACACAGAAAAGTTCTGTTATATATGAATTTACGTGCCAGTGTGATTCTGGCTACGTAGGACGCACCACCCAAAGATTGGAGGATAGAATAAAACAACAGGTTCCATCTAATATTAGAAACAAAACCCATCCCCAAAGAGAACAGCCACCTCGGTCTTGCAAATCTAAAATTACAACTAAAACCTGCGATTCTGCTATCGGGCAGCATTTACTAGAAAACCCAGATTGTGCAAAAAACTATAATGGCGACATGTTTCGGATTATTGGTAAAGCCCGATCGTCGTTCCACCTAGCAGTTTTAGAATCTATCTCCATAAGCACGAAAAAACCGCTACTGTATAGACAAAAGGAGTTCGTTTTCACCTTAGGACTCCACTGGTAACATTTTAATAGGCAAGCGGCACTGATTGGTCAACCTATACAGTCATGTGCTCGTGTTTCTGATTGGCCTATTTCGATCCACAACTGGGTA